CAGAGATAAAAAGATAGAAAAGATGAAAAAAAAAGAAACAAACACACCGAACATAATTCGATAGTAAAACGTATGTCATTATTTTCCAACTGAGAGATATGGAAAAAATAGAGAAAACCATAAAGCAAAAGATAAATATGCTTTGTATCCTATACCTTTTACTATGTCCAATGATAAAGTACATTCACAATCAGTCGAGAGAGAGAAAGGGAGAAAGAAAGACAAAAATGAATGAAAACAATAAAATCGTATACATATACGCAAACACTAGAACGGCTAAACAAACAACAACTCATGTCAAGTTGAAGTGGTGCTTGGTTTCTCTTCAATTGCTTCGGTAGTTGGACGCTGAGTTCACAGATGCTGAAATGGCAGTGGAAAGCACAAACCAAAAAGAAATGGATTGAATTTGAGCATGAATGTTATTATTATCTCTCCGTCTCTCTCTCTCTCTCTCGCTCGCTATTCTTCTGTATCGCGTTTATCGCTTGTGTTGGTTGCCTTATAGTATTTTCCGAACGTACAATACACATTGGCCATTACACGCGGCAGCCATTCATTCGATGTTGATCATCAATTTGATATTTTTTCTATCTATCTAACTCTGGCGCGCACTCTATATATAAATATCACATGAAAATGAAAAAGAATCACATGAAAATGTTTCCTCCATAAAATGGCAGCATCCTATTTTCATAATCTGAATTGACATTTGTTCACATTTCTTTTTTATTCGAGTGTATATCTTTACACGATCGCCATTTGATAGGGAAACGTGAAACCTTAACGAGATGCATATTCTATCTATGCATTTCAAATCAATAGAAATTGTTCATTGTTTAGTGCATTGCAGTAAAAAGGAAATTTGCAATTTTTTTCTTCTTCTTATTTTTGCTATCGCAACTCAAATGAAATTCACGGGTTGCGAGACGTGCTTAGTTTTACTGAAAAGTTATTGTTTGCGTGCCACATTTTCACTGTGGTTGCATGTCTTTGCCGTTAAAGCTTTTGTATAACTCTGCGTTTCTAATGTTCGTGCTACAGACTTTTGCAAAAAAAAAATGTATAAATTGTTTGCAGATAGATAGCAGAAAGTGCAAATGCTGAGACCGAACCGACATACAGAGTTAGAACTAGATAGAGAAGCCCTCGAACTTTGAACACGTGCATGTGTACGTATGTAGCATTATCTAATTGAACCTCTGAAACATTAAACTTCTTTTTTTGCCCGTCATCATTTTGGTCACGTCCAGTTGTTTTATGCTCTTCATATAAATGATGAAGAACTGTCACTGCCATATCGTGCCATTCTAAACTCTAGCTCATGTCAACATAGACAATGGTCAACGCGCACGCACACATCCACATGCGCTACACCAGCCATGAGAAAGAATAAAAGCAATGCAACGCAAAGTGATAGACACATTTTGTATCACTCACTTTTTAAGGGGTAGGTGAGACTAGCGGTCATGTGAGATGGGGATTTTGTTGGATATTAATTGAAATACTTATGAGCCGTTATTATTTTAACTGAAGTTTTCTGCGTTTGGTTCTATTCATGAGGCTTTAGTCGTTTTGACTATGTGTAACGTTGAAATATTGTGTAAGCTTCGGTTAATTAGATAATTAAGTAATTCCAACTTTTATGGTATCATGATGATGCACTTAATTCGACACACATATAGAGAGACGGTGCCGCAAAGAGATATAAATTTTATCATTTTGTCAAATGAAACCGCACTAATTAAATACATTCGAGAAAAATATAAGCAACACATTGCATTTCCTAATAAGTTTTTCTTCTCATCGTGTTTGTATTTGATTTGCGCTTATTTATTTTATTCACGGAAATACATTATTCATTTGATAAACATTATGGCATGCAATCAATGTTACAATTTTGTATAAAGCAAACGCCAATGAAAATGCAGAAATAAAATCAAAAACCACCGAACCTTACGTTGTGTAATTTGAAAATTTTCAAATGACAAGCACAAAGAATTCGAATCAGCGTCATCACCAAAAGTCTGCATTTAAAATATGAAAACCTCAAAAGCAAACGTAATCAAAAGTATGAATGATGTTCGGTTTTGAAATTATGTCATTCAAGTGCATGTTGTTGATGTTAAGTCAACTCATTCAACCAGCTCTTGAAAATAGTCTTAAATATTAGCTATACAAATATTAACGCTGTATATACATGTTCTATCATAAGAAGATAAACAAAACGATATGTTTAGGATATCGTGATATCGGATGATTGACGATGAAAAAATTCAAGCTAAAAATAGTCGCAGTCAAATATACGGCATATCAATAACGACCATAAGATTCGAAGCTGTAGCGTAAAAAAAAATTCCAGATGGGGATGAAAATAAATAAACCTTTTTTCAGAAGTATATTTGCTGACTGTTCAATGTGAATCATGAGCACGAAAAGAATTTTGAACACAAACTCTTCGCAATAGCAAGTATATTCTTATTGTTGGCTAAAAAGTTCTTACATTTGATACTGAAAATCCTTGAATTTCGCTCCAAAATTTCTCTGAACATTTAAGGGCAACCTAAAAAGCTTGTATGGTCGCTATGGCGCTGATAAGATTTCATGAATAAATATAAAGGCCAAAAGGAAACGATAAAAAAAAATACTGACAAAAACTCTCAAGACAAAGAGAGATTTTCGAGCGCTCTCAAACGAAACCGTTCAATTCAAAACCAAGTATGGAAATGTGAGTGTTCATTTTACGGATACGTGAATTGGCAACATAATCGAGCATAATCTTAACGCTTGAATTTGTGAAATGAAAAGCAACAAACTTCACACTTTTTATTGCAATGCCAAAAGTTTTTTTGTTCAAATTACATTTGTATTTTGATTGTTTCATTTCGAAGTATTCGTCAAACACTCACTTCTTGGTATTACTTTTAAATTTAGCCTCAAGTGTCAACCATTATTACATCTCTCAACTTTTTACATATGCCATATTTTTATGTTTCTTTACTTCAGCCAGTTTTCTTTCTTTCATTGTTTTCGTTTTATTATTATTTCTGCAATATAATATTTATGCGATGTGTGAAGTGCTGATGTAAACTTTTGAATTATTTAAAAGTGGCATTATAAAAAAAGTTATCGGCAACAAGTTTCGCAGCTGTCGATAATAAAACAATATTGGTCACTCTTTTTTCTGACTCGAAATATATTTTTTTTCGTTGAAAGTGAGCAAATGCGATAGAACATGTATGTTATCTTAAAAGTATGAAAAACACAGTATATTTTCAATCAATGTTCGAATAGTACATGCTACTATTAGTTCACAGAACTCCCATGAAAAAATGCCAAACTATCACTTGTTTTGTATTGGATTTTTTTACTGGCACTCATTCACAAAAGAATTATACAAAAAAAAAAAAAAACAATGTGCCAGAATTATCATCGTAGCGACTGCTGATGGCTTTACAAGCATTGGCAGGATAGCGGAAAAAGCATATTTCATTATATTGTCAAAAACAATACACAATTAGAATTCCATGCATAAAATTCAATTCAAGACATTCTATGCCTCATTAAAATTGAAATGAAAAAAAAACCACCAACAAAAATAAACACAAACAATTTTTGAGCCTGAGAATATGGATCGACAACACAATCAACAGGGAATGGAGTTGAAATAAAATACAGCCAGATTTTTCCTTTTTTCCCTCTTATTTTACGTTGTTTGCTCATTTTGTATCATCTATGTGTTTATAGAGTGAGTATGTGTGCATGTTGGTAGAGCGTGCACCGAAAATGACTGTGTATGTTTTTCAATATTTCCAGCATTTTGTTTATTTTGCTGGAAATTCTGAGCATTAAAACGGATAAAAAATTATTTATTACTTTCCAAGAATTGACTGTTTTTTGCTCATCACAACATACATACATACATACATATTAAGAGAGCTCTAAATATTAAGAGACTGATATAAGGTCAACCGCTCAAAATTAACCGTTGCATGAGCATTGAATATTTATTTTGATTGCGGTTGTTCTCGATTTCTGGCCGACTTTCTCTGTTTGCCTTTTGAAGATTAAATAATTTTTTACAGAGACGGAAATGCTTGCCACAACAGTTTGATGCTAGTAAATCGCTTATTTTTTAGAGCGTCAAAGAAACAATGTCACGGAGAAACTTTAGAGAAATGAATAGATTTAAATGAAAAAAAACGTAAAATTGAAATAAATATTGTAATTGCATTTTAAAATGCAGAGAAAATCATACTAACCTCATTTATTGTCAAAATGATTGTCACATTGTGTGTGTTTGTATTGTATTTTAGCATTTTGCAAACGGCAATATCGCGTGCTTTCTTTTACTTCATCTCTCACAATTTTCCATTTTCATTGTATGCATCAAAAAAATCGGCCAATTACATGAGCGAAACGCGCTCATAGTACTGCATCCTTTTGCCAGATTTTTTTTTAATATGAATCATCTCATTTTTATGGGCAAGCAAACAAACAAGGGAAAAAAGAATAATAATATATAATTGTTGAGGCCGGAAGAATTCGGTGGAACACTTTACGACCAACAAAAAAGCCCATTAAATTTATGGAGCTCTTTTTCATCCTTTCTCTCTTTTCAATATATAAAAATTTTTTTTGTTGTGGTTTCTGATGCAATTCCATTTCAATTTGAAGAACGGGACGCATACAATAAGCAAAAACTCAACGAGAATTTCATATCAACAATTGTAAAATCGTTATTATTTTGAAAGTGGAACCATCGCCGATGCGAACCATTTTTATTTTTAAAACGTTTCGACTTTTTTTTTCGAAATGCAATTTTTACACATTTTGTGAGTAAAGTTATATAACGAGGTTATATCGTTTGCGATGTTTAGATTGTTTACTGTTGAATTTCTTAAGTTTCGATAGCATAAGATGGTTGGTTTTCAAAATCAAAATTAATGACAATTTCTTTCTTTGCTTCTTTTTCGATTTCCATTTTCAATTTGCTAAAGGATCACAAGCTGAAGAATATGGCCGAATTGCAGCAAAGTGTTGTTACTGATCAGGATACTCGACACCAAATACAATCGCAAATCCTTCAGTGGGAAGAGAATTTGGAGCGTCTGCATTGTGAGCAATTCCGTTTACGGTGCTATATGGCATCGCTACAAGGTGGCGAATTGCCAAATCCCAAGGTATGTATCAACATCATTTTCAATCTCAAATTTTTAGGTTTATCATGCTATCCGAATGGATCTTACATTGACAACAGCTGCAAACCTGGTTGTGATAGTTTTTCATCGCAATTTCAACTTGAATCGATTTTTTTTTTGGTTATTGTCATTTTAGTCGGTGTCTGCATAAAATTCACACTTTGTTCGTTTGTTTAAATTTCTGATTTAACTACCATATCATCATCCACACCAATCCACCAAATTGGTTGCAGCCAAATGTGACATTGCAACTGAAACTTGGAATTTAATCAAGTAGCTACTTTCGTTTCTTTGGGAATATGGAATGTGATTTCGATTTTGCTGAGGTCGCTTTTGTCATACCGAATACATAAATCATTTCGCAAAGTTTGAAATTTTATTCGAAGTGTCATGTATTCACTATGCATATACTGATCATGATGGTGTGCAATATTTAATTTTATTACATAAATATATCGATTGGAATGCTGTTAACAATCCGAATGAGAATAAATATAGCAAAAAGTTAGATACAACGATGACTTACGCAAATTTTTTTTCTCTCCTTCCATCTCCACCGCCTCTGCTCCGTTTTCTTCCATTGTTCTCTTTTTTCAATTCATTCAATATTTGTGGTGGGTATGCATTGTGCTCGTAGATAGAGTCATGCTGGCGACATTTTCAAGTTGAATTGCAGCCAATTCGAAATGATTTTACTACATTCAGTGTAAATGTCAGGCGAAAATATGTGGTATTATTATACCGAACATGATTCCATCAATTTCTTTGCCGTTTTATATTACGATTTAAAAAAAAGATCAGATTATCGAAATAAATTTCAATTAAAATGCGAATTCGTGTGTAAAAGTTTGAAATCGATTTTCATCATCATGCAAATTATCCCCTTTTTTTATTCTCGGTATAGCTAGTTTTTACAGCTCAAATAAGCCCAACTCACCCCAAATATTGTGGTCAACCATTTTCCCTAAATGTGTTTGACAATATCTTTTATGTTGAAAATCCATATCCGTTTGTGTATAATGTGTATTCGTTACATGAAGTTTTCAACCATTTTTTGTGGACCCATAAATTGCATTGACATTTTTCTTTTTCGTTGTGAGCATTTTTATATTTCATTAAGACTGGTTACGAAAAAGTTCTGTTAGTTTTTGTTCGCAATCATCGGTGAATGATTCTGATAGTTACGCAATATTTTGGTTTCAAATTATCTTCAATAATTTGACTCTTTTCTGAGAATACAATTTCTTCTCTTGCCTGTATTCAGATAATTTTATAATTTTACGTGCGTAACTAAATAAATGAATTATGCATATTACATGAAAAACTTTTGATTGGTATTTTTTCACTATGTATAAATTATTGATTTTTTTCGGTGAAAAACGCGTTCATTGAAAATCTACCAGTTAAATAATTTACTGAAACTGCTCAATCATAAATTATTCGGAAAGGAACAAGAGAAAAACTATCAATGTGGATCGAGTTTTTTTTCTCTCAATAAAATATTATAACTGGGTAAAAATGCGGTGTGTCAAGCTCTCTTCAGCGCAAAATATATGAACGCTATAATAGAGCATCAAATATGGATGGAAACTAATAAAACATGTACTGTACATATTTATAACCCATGAGTTATGCGGTGCAAAAAAATGTATTACACCTTTTATCACTTAAAATTGGTATCGTTTATTTCATTCCATTTTGATTTCATTTTTTCGTGTCACATTTTTTGTTCGTTCACTATGTTTTCAAATTCTTAACATCAAAATTCAAATATTTCTATATCGTATGATTATAGTGTGAGCTTTTTATAACATGCAGCTCTTGCAGCACTGGCATATCCGATTTGTGCCACGATACTAAAATGCGGTACAAGTGATAAAGTGTGATCCCATAACTGAAATCTCAATGAATTTAACTCAATGCATTTCAAGGAAATATGCGAATATCAAAAGGAAATGTGAGAGGTTTTGGAGAGAGTCAGACATATTTTATCGGCTAATTTACGATTGTGAATATATATGAATTATACATAGTGGTGTGTGCAGAAAAATATGTGGCTTCATTGCGCGTATGTACGATACACAGATAACGTTGTATTTCTTATATATGAAATATTTGTCGGAGCGCCCAAAAACTTTTCGACAGCCACAATTCAATTTAAACAGGAAAACCAATTGTTGTCAATGATGGTTACATCGTATAATCTTTTTTGCCACACATTTACATAGTCAGACCAACCACCTTATCTCATGAAAGAGATGGAAAGAAGAGAGCTCTTGGTGGACGAAGTTATGTTATCAAATTCAAATTTAGTTTTCAGCAGGCACTTTGCTTTGATTTTTTTTTTATTCCAAACTTTGTTATGCGCATACATAATACTTTTGGTGATTGGTATGGTTTATTTAGCGCAAGACGCTATTCGCATTGATCATAGTACATTTACCATACAATATGCTCATTTTGTGTTGCTTAGCATCAGTGTTATAATTTATTTGGATTTTCGTATAAAGCGTTCGTTGCTTTTTAGCGTGGATGGTTCTTTTTCATGAATTTTGCTTACAAAGAATTTTCTTTGTTCGATTCCAACACACACATATATATCCATGCATGTATTAGCCTCTTCTATAGGTGTTTTGGCAAAGTTGCTGACTTATATTAAACGAATTAACTCTTCTGGAAAGGATGTGTGCTACTTACTAATGTTTCACATTTCATTTATCAAAAACTTTATTCAGCCTTTTCAAACATCAGAAAGATTTTTTCTTCTTTTTTTCTCTTCACGCTAACATTCTACGCCAACAAAAAAAATAACCGCTTTCTGTCTATCCCCTCGCAAATACTGGTACTGACAACTAAATGATGCCCTTTCTACCCGTTAACAGTTACATTTTTTTTGTTCATATGTTACCCACACAATTAAACAACTTTTCACGATGAAAATTTTACTTATATAACAATGTGTTACAATGTATGTTTGAATTAATTTTCTCTGATAATTTCATTTCTATTGTATTTTTAAGGAATGTTTCATTAAATTTCGTCATGGTAATAAATGAATAACAGTACATGAGTTTGACCTGAATTTTACCTAACAGTTAGTGTGTTGTGTCTACTATTTATATGGCTTCTTCTCTTACAAATGTATTAAAGGTGATTTTTTTTATGTATCTAACGGTTAACTACATCAAAAGTCATCTTTTATGCTCGAATGAAATTGCAGCCAGTTGAATTAACATGCGATTCAAAGCGTGAGAAGCCATGTAAATAGCAGACGAAGTCAAAGTGAAAGTGAGCGAATACATCAAACATCAATGATCAATCAAATATCGTTATGTGGCAGTCAAGCATTAAATGTATCCATTAATTTAACCAGATGAAGATGTCTACATTTTCAATTTGATTTTCGTCTACAAATTATGAGCCCATAAAATTGATTCTGTGTCGTATATCCCCATCATTATGATGCCGAAGGGTATACTAAATATCGTTGCACCGAACATATCGAATTTCGTTCGAAAGAGATGTGACGTTGCTGGTTTAAATTTCGAGTCATTTGAAATTGAGAATTTTGACAAAATAAAATCCAATGCCAAGCCATTTGAGAATATAAGTCCTTTTCACATTTTTGTCTCAAGTCCGGTCGGATTTCCGTGAATTTTTGTTTGATCCACATTTGAAGCAATTTCTTGCGATACATTTTTACTGAATTAATTTTTTCCAAGTATAGCATTAAAGTAATGCCATATAAGTATGGGATGTAAACAAGCCCCTTTAGTATTTTGAAACAACAACCAACGAACCACCATGTGCGATATGTTAAAATGTGATATGTGTCTTTGTGTTGCTTTCAATCTTTTTTTACAGCGTTTGAAACATTGTAGAAATGAAGTGAGAGTAAGAGGGTAAAAGAAGACCAAAACTCCACCAGACAGCACAACCCATTTGTTAGGAAACTATGGTCCATTATTGATAAACAAAGAGAAACGACAATGAAAATATTATCTCATGGCAAGCAATCGCATTAGATGCGATTCGGAAAAAAGACACACACACAAAAACTTTACCATTTCTATTTATGTAGCATAAATATAGCAAATTCATCTATATTGAGACTTTCCACTCTCTTTTTGATTTTCTCGTACGTCACACCATGTGATATTTGACCCTTCGAATAATCGTAGGAATGTACATTCATCCAATATTTTACGGATATTCAATTTTTTTTTGAGAAAGCATATAGTCTCAAGAGCAGCTGACTACAGATTATTGGCTAAAAACAAGATTAAATGTGCTCATATTAAATAATTCATTTGTTCTTGAGTTTGGGCAAAAAAAAAGTCCGAACATTTTCATCGACTTGATCAATCAATGGCATTGTATTGAATTAAGTCATTGGCATAATTGTCGCAGCATTATGCTTGATACTTGATATCGCAAAGTCAATATCCTTATAATATCGATGTAGTAACATAAAAAATGATGCAATAACAATGTATGCTGGCACTTTTTGGCAGCCCCATTTCTCTGCTTATGTGTATCTAAAGAGATTGAATATGAGCAACTTCTTTCCATATCAAAGTAATTTTGTTAATTACAAATTTCTATCGTTCGCATCTAATTTCGATTTATATCTTTTTGGTGTTGCATGATCCACACTCTATCTAGTTATTGTCCATCCGCATTCAAGATTGGATTGATGTTTATTTATGGTGAATGATAGTGTATGTATGGCATATATAAAAGTGTTTTGGTACAAAGAAAATGGAAGTAAATAAAATGGATAGTTCCATTGTCTCTGTTAAATCTATAGTACAATCATTTTGTTACACAATATTATCAACTCCGTTCATCGCACACATACTCGACCAATCAGTATTGTATGGCTAATTGATGTTGAGAATAGCACACCAAATCATATTTGAGTGTCAATTGAAATGACATCAAATGGCATAGGCCAAGACATTCTGTGGTATTTTCATCCGTATATTGTGTTGAATAGCTTCACATATATTTTAAAATAATTGTTTGCGCTTTTTTGAACTGCTCTTAAATTTCATACGTTGGCTAATTCACGTAAACCATTGTGTACAAAGACATGGAAAAGTTTGTGTTTTCAGTTGTGGCTCTGTTGATAATTTCGCTATGGATATTTGCAATATTCAATGGATAAAATAATCTAATTCATTTCAGATTTTAACTTATTCGGCTTAAATTTTCGTTTTCATCATTTACAAATCATTTTTATGCGATTTCGATGACATTCAGTTTCGGTCCATCCATTTACTCATGTATAGGTTCCGAAGAATGTTTGCATTTTTCAGTTATCTTCAAATTGGGTTTATGTTACTCTATTGTACCCATTCGATTTATGTACATGGGTATGTTTAAACAACATATTTTGTGCGAACGAAAGTAATTTGTAAACAGTCAATATCGAATTCGGTCGACATTCGACAATGGAAAACATTGGACAAAAAAAGCCCGTACTTAATCACATCGACTGAATATTGAAATAAATTGAATGGCCTCAGTATGACGCCACAAAATTGAAACTAAAAAACAACACAAAAATCCATTCTAACTCTTTTTCTTCCATATCCTCGTCGACTTACTTTCTCGCCCCTTTTTCGCACTTTCGTTTTGATAAAAGCATTGGTTTTGGACACATGCTGAAAATACGAAAATGTTCACCGAAAAAATATATATCAACTACAATGTAATAATTCAATGTTTGGATTTAAATTGCAAAACTTGGTGGGGCCGCTTTTATTGTGGAAAATAAGTTGAACGTTTGTGCCAATCAATTTCATCAGTCATCAGGACACAATCAGAGTTGTCACAATACTTGGAATTGTACGAATTCTTGTCAACTCTTTTCAAATGAATTTGATCTTATATAGTTACGTCTTTTTTTACTAACCAAACTAATTCTGTTTTTAACATGTATATTTTTTCTTCTCTTTTGATTACAGTCTTTGCTTACTCATGTGTCTAGACCAACCAAAAATACATTAAATAAATTAGGCGTATTTACTGTGTCATCGTTCCATGCATTTATTTGCGCACGTTCACCATCGTTGTTGAACAACTTGCTGGCAGGACGTGGAGCAACAAAACGACGACCACCATTACTATCTCGATCGAATAGTGGATCCAGCCGACGTTCCATGCAGGTAATTCATCTCATGTAGATTTACGATGTTATATTTTATATATTTCATATATCAGAAAGCACACACATGTGCCCACACTCTATTCTCTTCTCATTCGCATTTTTATCGCAATACAAAAAGCGCATTAAATTCCATTACAATGAACGAAAGTTTAATGTTTTCAAGTCTTTGAATTCAATATTTACCCATACACACATGTTCAACAAAAAAAGGGCAAACACTTTAATCATTTCGATTGGTTTTTTATTAACGTAGAGTATATGTGAACCGGAGAGAAAGTTTTTGCTTAAAAATTTGACCAAAATTCCATTTTCTTATTTGAATACATGATTCAAAATGTTTCGTTAACCAAACCATTTTCATTTTGTTAAAGCACACATCCAAAAATTCTTTCATTTTCCCAAAATACATGGCCAATTTTTAAAAAGTACAACAAAAAAATGTTTAAGAAGCAAATAGAGGCGGACATCACATCAATATGATCTATATTTCTCTCTGTCCTGAATAGCACAAAATTCAAGTGAACGGATTCCGTTTGTTTGCATGAACGAAATTTACTTCGTTTCGAATTCATTTGTTCTTTTGTTTTGTACATTTCAGCGTGAAAAAAAATCAACGCCAAGTGTTTTCAATAGAAAATATCCATGGATTTATGTGTGTGAATGTCTGTTTCATTTAAAATTGCTTTCAAATGAAATTGTTTGAAATTTTACATCAGCACAGCAACAGAGATAAAAACCTAAAGCACAATGACTGTGTACTGTGTGTGTACTTAATTTTGGCTTTTGTTTTTGGCTATCCAAATTGCGAGCGTCAAAATAGTGGCGTTTTTGTATGTCGTAGGTGTGACCAGTATAAATTCTCAAAGGGATTGCACCATATTTTATGCCGTTTTTTTCTCTCTTCTTTTTGACCATTTTTCTCGTTAACGCAATAGACATACACAAGCACACATAAACAAACAAACCCATACATGTTCAAATATCCATTAAACGATGTAACTCTTGTTCGACTATTCAAATAACACTTCACAAATATAATGGCCATGAATGAATTGAATGGTTGAAAGAATTAATTATTTGCAAAATGAATATTGCATTGGTGTGTGTATACGCACAATCATTCTAAATTTACTTATTTAGCTGTAGTTTGTTCCGTTGACACAATTAAATTCAGTGCAATTATTGCTTTTGTTTCATTCATTTGGCATTTGAATATTTTATACAATTGTTTTGTGTGCTATAGAATGGATAAAGAAGAAAGAGACACATTCTATATTAAATGAGAACTCCCTACAAAGCATACAACAAGCAATTTTGTTGTGAGCTTTGATGAGAAAATATCGAATTTAGTGGTTTTTTTTCGGTTTCTATTTGTTTTTAATTAGAGCAAAATCAAATTTATTTATCTCTATTTTCATACAATCAGATGAACTCCCGTGATGATCCTGATAAAACATACAAAGTTGCATTACCCGACAATAATTATGCAACAGTTTATTTACGCGATGGCATGTCCGTTGAGGAGTTCTTGGCAAATGCATGTGCGCGCAAGAATCTTAATCCAATGGAACATTTTGTGCGAGTGAAGAAACGACGTGATATGGAAGATCACAATTACTTTGTTCCACATCGAAACGATTTAATTGAAACCTATGTAAGTAACTATGTATATATGTTTAAGATATGCAAATCTATTAGCATCAAATAATGTTGAAATGAAAACCAATTTTAGTGGCTATAGCCAACAACAGAAACATGTTTCGTTCTCGGTTCTCAACATAAACATAGTCTGTTAGTGTACCAAAAACATTAAATTAAACCAATCCTTTTTATGACGAAAATTTGAAAATTAACAAGCAATTTGCTTGTGCACTCAATTGTATTCATGTATATTTCGTGTAATGAATTCATTTTCATATTTATCATTTTATTATTGTGATTCAAGTAGGTATATATTTTGTATCCTTATAAGGAAGAAAGATACGGTGTAAAGAAAAGTCTATGGGTGAAAAGTATGGCCCAGCATCACATAAAATATAATATGTAAATGTGTACGTGGCGGCGAAAATCGTCGTCATCAACCGGTCCAAAGTGAATGTAATTTTATTCAATGGCATGTGGAAATGGACTTAATGCAAATAAATTGAAAGCGAGATACAAATGATACAAAATGCTCGAGGCCACATTGAATATTCATGCCAATGAGTTACATGGCCAACCAATATAAACGGCGTGACGCGGAAGAAATTAACTTCACGAGGATATAACAGACATTTTCCGTTTCGAAAAAATAAACACGACGGATACGCGTCAACTCTTTAAATAATTTCACTGTAATTTTCTTTTTCGCTGTTGAAATGATGGCCTTTTATTTGCAAAAGACCAAAATTTCGTACCGAAATACTGTATCACACGTACTAAAAGCAGTCGCATAACTTTTGAGCGTAGTAAACATTCTTTTCAATGTTTAGTTTTTTAACTCAACATATGAAATTTCAATTTTTCAAAATGATGCGAAGATGTACGCTTTTTTCTAATGGGGTATATACAATTTTTGCTTAAAACTTACTTTTTTTGTCAAAAGTTTAAACCTTCGCCTTTCAAGCAAGAACATGGAAGGTAGATATGTTCACAAATGTTGTTCGTCTATAACTTTATCAAAATATCTCAAATCATCCTTGACCTGAAAACGCCACTCCGTTATGAATTTTGGGAAATTTTTGGAAACACCAAATGTGTTTTTGGATCCCTCTGCTACATCCAAATCGAAAATTGACATTTGGCGTTAGATATATTCCAAGGTTTTCTGATTAGTAACCTATAGCAAATTTCAAGATGCGCCAGAAACTTGTCTTGTGTGAAATCATAAGTAAATGTACGGGTTTAGAGATGACACTGTGTGTTAACGTTATTTTTCTAAATACGATTTAGAGTAAATGTGAAAGAGCGACAGAAAAAATGTGCTCGAATGTAAGGCTACAAATTAAAGCTTGGAACAGCTTCAGCAATTATTTTATGATAACATTGATTGTACTCCAGTGAATTCGATGTCAAAAGCAGACAAAGAAAAGCAATAGAATTTCAAGCATTTAACATTGTTGTAGTCCAATTTTTCCATCCAATATCCCCTGATGCTGAATAGCATTACCCAATAATAATGTCAATAAAAAAATACGCTTTGAAACAGGTCCATGTTTCAATGAGCGACGGTCGCAAAAGGCATAAGGAAGGTGGCAATTCTTTTCGCTCATGCTGTCTTATGTTCGCCGCTTTGCTTTTCAGTCATTTCTGACAGTTGTTTTCATGCCGATGCAGTCTATTTCCCATCTTATCTCATTCAATCGGCTCGGGAATGATGTCGAACCAAGAATAATCTATTATTCGAGTTTTAAAATTCAAATCCAGTTTTTGTTCACTCTTCAACAAATTTCTAATTTGCATTTGCTTATTTAATGTTAAATTTTTATTTGGTACAAAATTAAAATGCTTTTTTAATGACTCTTTTCCATCCGCGTCTTCCGTCCATCATGGATGGTGTGACCGACAACCAGTTTTTGGCGATGTATTACTGTTGTTATCGTTGGGTGGCTGATTTCCATTCTTTTCAGAAAGATAATCTTAATCCAGATAAGAGCATCACGTGTAAGAAAAGAAAACTGTGCATTTTCCCACTGAAATTTCAATTACATTTTTTTATATGAATATTCTGATTCAGTTGTTTTGCCTATTATCTTTTTTTCAACTGGAATACATCATTATAGTGTTTATGGCAGTTTATTCATGGTTTCTACTCGAAATTCGATTGATGTTATATTATTTGTGTAATGTTCGATGAGAATCAAATGAGATTAAGTTGGCAAACAAAACACAATGGAATTAATTGATTAGGAACAATTGACGTGTTCTAGCTCTTTATTCTGCCACATTCGTTTTGTTACCAGAATGTCTATTAGTCATTTTACTGGAAAAACATTAATTAAATTAATTCTTATTTGTTGGACATAATTTGGTCTTTAATTAGCATATGCTGATTTTGTGTTTTGTTAGTACACACTATGTTTTTTTTCATTTTCTTTTAATCTCGCTGTGTGTTTCTATTTCATAAAATTACAGTTGCATACACATGAAATGGTTGAAGTTTGTGCCAAAATTCTATATCAAGTTGAATTACAACGAGGAAAAACGGAGCATATGTGGGGATTCTCGGTGGAAGCCGAACTCATTGAAAATGCAGATCGTCAAGATGAATTGTGTTGCTATGTGAGCCGCGTCGAAGACAAAAGTGTTGCCATGCAAAACGGTAATTATTAATTAGTTTGAAGTAACGTTTTTATACCTTCTATATTTATGTATATTTACATATGTTCTATTTGTGTGTGTGTTTTGTATTCTGTGGATCTGAAAAAAAAAAAACGGAAACTGCATTTAGACCATTTAGCTTGTAAAAAGATGTGAATCGGTTTTTTTAGTTTCATTGTTTGTTAATGCAATCATAGTTCAACAAGTTTTTAACCAAGTTAAATAAAATTGTTCTGTGCTCACAATGCTAAATTTCACATCTCTATTTGTTTTTAAATAGTATAACCATTTTTGGGACAAAATATCATGTTCTGCGGCGTTTGCATGAAATTAGGGTTGCTTCCAGCATAGTGAGAGTGTAGAAACATGTATATATGCTCCAATTAGCATATAAAATAGGTTTTTTTTCTTGAATTGCATATAACGTCTTCTCTCGTACATAAAGGGGTGGATAAAGTCAAAAGCGCATTAGGTTCAAAAAAAGACGATTAACTTACATCTTATAAAAAAACTATCCAAGTTTTTTTTGTAATTAAAAACAAAAACGTTCATAATAATATACAATTAGGCTTTTTGTTTCTTAAATACAATTTAGTTTAAGATTATTTAGCATATGAGCATGCATGTAAATGGTTGTAGATTAGAGTCCAGTTTGAATTCATACATTGACTAATTATATAATATTACAATTAATATCTATCAATGTCATTCGAGATCACCACACAAAGTAGATGAAAAATGAAACCTAATCCTTAAAAGCGCACTTAAATGTCCTATTCTGGAAAGGCGAAAATTTTATCAAATGACAACAAAAAAATGTGATAAGAACAGTGCAATTTTTTTGCCATTATAAGTAAAAGAAAAAAATTAAATAAATAACGGAACTAAAGAAAATATACAAACAATTTATCTGGAACTAATGCTTCATGTATCGATGGCTGACAAATTGAACACTTTTATCAAAATCAAGCGACTTGAACTCGAGTTATAGTGACATTTGTCTGAAAATTCATGAAGGCACACGGAAATTCGCTGTAGTAGAACTACTCTTATATAATTACTCTGCCTATATTTTTTCAAAATAGTATCTCAAGCTGAGCAGTTTCAATTAGGAAGGTTGAGCTCGAGCTATAAAGTACAAATCAAGTTGGCTTCAGATTCTTATTCAAATTCGTAGGAATACCTATCGATTGATGCTCGTATATGAAACAAATCAATAGCTAAAATCAAAGAGCGTATATGAATGGCAGCAAATATAGCGCTGCTGTGTAAAGTGAGTGTATTCGATGAGAATATTATTTTTGTGGATTTTGATCCGACAAAATTGGATTCAAGACTATAGCTGATACCTTGCTCGAATTATGCATGTCAAAAACAAACAAACAAACTAACCGAAAACGATTTTAAAGCTTGATAATACATGACAGCCTTCACCTTGTTTTGGATTTTAGTCGATGAAAAAAAGTAATATAACATAGAATTCGAGTTTTTTTATGTTTCTCATCTGTCTTACGTCTATATATACGTGACTATATTGTCATCTCATTATTTATTCAACGAATAGTTAAAATTGTCATTGTTTTCGACTTGCATTCTTAGTTATTTTGTCGTTTCGTAGTTTGTCTTGTTTAAAATATAAAATATTTGTTTATAAAAGACTTTAATACGACAAGAGAGTAAATTATGGTTGGTATTGTGTCATTAATAAACTCAGCAACTGTATTTTATGTGAGTTTATTTCTCACCAACCTTTCTTTCTCTCTTTTTTTCACGTCCATTTTCGACTTCATACATATTTCTTTCGTACATATTTTTATGTCTGTTCCTTCGCTTCTACGAGAATCCGTAAAAAACCGCTTTGGTGTTTCGTAGCCATTTTCTTTTCGCGTGTGTGCTTCAAATTCACACAAATAAACGTAATGATTTTCCGCGGTATTTGTGTCTGAGCGACATGTTGATGTCTGCATTTCACATATATTTAATCCAAAAAATATTTACACAATGAAAACAGCATATGCTGAGTTGAATAAACAAACATACGTATTTATACAAAATGAAAGTTTCGCAAATATTTTCAATTTGAACTGCATTTTCAGCTTTGGTAGGAAGAAAATTGCTCCTTTTGAATTGTGTTTATTATTTTTTTTTTCTTTGTGATCTATTTCTACTTTGTATTTCTGTTGTCGCTATAAAATTGCACAATATTTTGCACTTTATTTGTATCGAAATATGACATTAATCGTTTCGATGTCATCTATCGATATGTCATAGTTTGTCGAAATTTCTTTTTGCGATATACAAGACCTTAATGGGTCCAATGACGTGAATCTGTTGAAAAACTCAGGACCAGTACACGTTCACTGTGTGACATAAATCCCAACACAGAGAACTTTGACCCGAAGGAACGATACTAAAAGTTCACCAACTGCTTCTTCTTCTTCTTCTTCTTCTTCAAACGCCCAGGTAGTTCTGGTGTGCGATTTATGTGTGTGCCTAACGAATATATACACAATCATAGTTTAGAATGGGATCTTAATGCGGGGTTTCAATCGCATACTTTGCTAGTTTTCGAAATTTTTATTTCCCGATACGCAATCATCAAAGTGAAATGGAAACTGTGTGCTTTCCATCTAGATTTAAAACAAAATTGCATTCAATTCTTATATACGACAACCGTAATGATTGCGTCTGAACGCAATTGGTTGTCATCTATTTTTATGGTGACACTCCACTTCTCAAGCACACTTCACATCACATTATTTCTATGCTATTTGTTAATTTGATTTACATTGCACACTTGTTTTATATGCTTCTTTCTCAACGTTCCAAATTAAAATAAATTGACCGAAATATCAGAATTTTTTATCGGGTTCGAATAAATTCGAGATTGCTCTAGTGTTGCAAGTCAATTGAAACATTTAATGGACCAGTTAATTAAAATACTTCATTTTCCACCAAACCTCTCATGGAAATTGTAAATCCAGACGCACTTAATTAACTCATTGCACACGCCTTCCTTTTTACGCTCGTAAACTACATAGGATCAAAGCGATGAATGGGTGATCACTGTGTGAATGATAACAGTACCAAACAGCACCAAGATCGAATACATAAACATGTTTCAGCAAATTTGAGACTTATTTTTGAGCTATTCGAGTCGCACGTATTTTGCAAAATCGGTTCTACGATTAAGTTTTTTTCATTACTAAACACTTTCCAAAGGAGAAAGAGAAAAAAAAGTGGAAACATTAAGTTACAATTCAAATATATCTAACTTAACATCCGGATGTGTACTTAAGCACTGTCAAGAATAAAAGTGGCTGATAGCATTTTAGAAAAAGGAAAAATCATGCTTCAAAAAGTATTGCTGGAAGTGTTTCTTTGGCTGGGATGTTTTTTTTTCTTCAGTTAAAACTACTTTCTAGTTTTCACCTGTTTACTTTCAATAAAAAGGGTGTTCGGTAAACTGTATGTTCTCGTTTGGGTAGTTTTTTTCTCGTATTAACGCAAACATAAAAAAATCCATTTAGAAAACTTTGTTTTACAGAAAACAGAGATATTAAGAAAAATGGAATGCATTTTACTCAAACATAGTATAAACTTCAAATAATTGTAGCTATTACGTGGGTTAAATCTATTGCACTTTTGTTGTGTCTATCTTTACTTTTAATGGTTCAGAGTCATCAACTTCAGAAATGCTCTTCGAGCGTAAAGGAATTAAAACAAAAAAAAAATTATTGTAGTAAAAACTTTTCAATTGACACAGGAACATACATACAAATTGTATAATATAGACGAGAGATCAAAATTAAAATATTTTAAGCGCTTTAGAAATTGAGTAATTGTAACATTTATCGGGAAAAAAATGCACTGATTTTTAAAAACTAATAATAAAAAATGTTGTTTTTCTTAGTAAACGAATACAAAGACTACTTCAAAATTTTATAACGTCATAGGTCGCCTCTTCCATATCTTTCTATCGAACACATTCTCTTTCTCCTGCAATTCAATTCTAATTCGGTTTACAAATTTGTTGTATTTTTCTCTCTCTATCTCTTCCATTTTCTGCAGGCTGCTCTGAGGTTATGAATAGCTCAGGGATTTTTAATACCGATTCTCAAGGTAATTTTAACTTTTACCACCATAACAGAAACAAATTAAACAAAACAAAATTTTCAAACACCATCAACTTTGGAAATACACAGTACACACAAGCATTTCAATTCAATGAGTAGGCAAAAAAAAATGTTTCCGAAAACTCTTAAATTTGAGAAGAATGTTTTGGAAAGAGAGAACCGATTGGAAAAAAACAATTGAAATCAACGTGTTCAACCGAATATCCATTTGGGCAAAGAGATGAAATCGATTTTGAACTAGATATCTCTGGCATATGTTCATCATTGGCTAAATCATTAAAACAAACATCATTAGCATGGTTTTCGAAATTATAACTAACACACATAAACACATTCATTATCCCTGGTACTGACACTATGTTCATAAGGAAAACCTAGTTGGCGTATATCTTTGAGCTTAGGAGACTTAGACATATCATGTAGCTTGGTCATTGCAATTGACGAATGGTTGAGCTTACTATTCAACTTTTGTAGTTTGATTTGAAAACAAACATTTACGAAAACTGTATATAATTTCATGTAATTTATTTGTATGCTAAGATCCAAGCAATGAATACAAAAAACACAAGTTGCCTTTAAATAAAATCGAAAAAATTGAGTTGAATTATTTGAAAAAATCGATGTCGTTTTTGAACTTAAAAGAAATAAAATTGGCATAGTTGTGTATTAAAGTAAACAAATCGGCCGAATATATGTTAATACTAATTTAAATACATGTTATATCATTTATAGGTATCATCAAGGGTGACGAAATCATGGTAATCAACGGTGCAATTGTGTCTGATTTGGATATGATGTACATTGAAAGTGTGCTACAAGAAGAATTTGCTTTATGCATGATGATGAGGTAATATTGTCCATATCCATCTTCAATAGATACACATATTTTTCTCCATTTTTTTGCCATATTATGCGCACATATTTTAAATGAAAATTTTTCGATTTGGTTTGTGCTTTTGACTTCCAGATCATCACGCACTGAGCCCCCAGATCTGGTTGGTATAATGCGTGTAACTGATGACATGATTGATTCACTTGTGTGCCCACCGCCACCAAGTGAACCACCCGCTATGAGTGACGAGATGATCAATGAATTAATCGTTCCGGCGCCCGGATGGAGTGAGTATTGTTATTGTTCATTGTAAAACAATATTAAATTTCAGCCCAGTTGGTTTTATTTTCATTATTCGTACACAATATGGGGTCGATGTGACTGGTGTCTATCGATTCCGATTGCGGATGACCGCTTTTGGAAAATTGCACCATTTTAAATTTTCTAAAACTAACCAAAAAGCGCTTATATTGTGTAAATTTTCGATTTGAATACATAACACACACAGGTGTGCACAGTTTTGTTTGTTCGCAGAGAGCGAATCTTTTTTTTTTGTCTTTTTTACATTTATTGAGAAAATATTTGCTTGCAATCCAAATAGTGCGGTCATTTTGTATGATATTCATTTGCATTTTTTTAATTCTTATCGTTTTATAAGGCAAGGACGTTTTTTCACCCGAAGTTGAAAGTTCACCAGCACCATCATCAACCGAACCACAAAACATACCAATCGGTGTTAAACAAACTAGTCGCACCAGCAGTTTTGAAATTGAAAATTTATTGAAAACAGCTGAACAGGTAAATGACATTTATTTTCTAATACACTCAATTTTGATAAAATATTGATTTATTGGCGTTTGATTGTGAGAATAATATTTTTCCGTCGAATTTCAACATTTTTGGATGCGAAAAACCAAAATTAGTTCATGTTCACATTCCAAAACCTAGGGGGTAGACACGTGGATAAGGATTAGACTTTCAGTGTAAAAATTCAAGAAATTAAAGTGGAATAGACAATTCAGTAGCTGGATTTACTATGTATGGAATAGCGAAAATGGGTTAGATTCAATGTTTTTGTAATCGATAGTACAGAATTTGATCAAAGCATTGAACTTGTTTTGAGATATTAATTTGTTATTTTTTGAAATATTTTTTAGTTTAAAAGTTGATTACAAAGAACCATGTCAATTTTTCATATAGCGAGTGAGCCAGCAGTTTTTGACTGAGAGTTTGTCTAACCCTACATTTGTCATAACTGAGCAGAGTGCGTTTAACTCTCAAACGGCACATTTGCATCGCATGCATGATCGTAAATAAGAATTAAATAAATTGAAATGGAAATATTAAAAACGATGATAATACAAAAAAAGTATTAATCATGCAAAATAATTGGAATAATTAAAATAAAATAAAATAATTTTTATATTTATATCATTTGATTTTTCGGGTGAATCCTTCTATCGTGAATTAAACGTACGTTGTTTTGTTATGATAGCCGCAGGGTTTGACAAATTTGCAAGCAATGACAGCTGGCTCACTTTTTGGCATTGTTCTTTACAAAACAATAGAATCACTTTCTCAAAATATTATTGACAAAATGTCATACTCCAGTGTCGATAAATAAGTTTTCAACAAAGTGAATAGCGGCAAAATGTGACATTATATTTGACAATGAAATGACGGATTGGTGGAATAGTGGGATTAGTGTTTATATATTGGAATCATGGTTTAATCGTTTGTGTCTCCCCCATAGTCCAAAACAGTTTCAATTAGAACGTGAATTTCTTTTTAAAACTAACGACAATGGGTCATATGCTAATGAATTCATTATTTTTTTTCTCGATGCAATTATTTTACGCAATGAACCAATTAGTATACGTCTAAACTTAATTTTAGTGCACGCTTTTGTGCATTTTTGTTAAATTCCTGCTTTTGAACAACTAAGTTGTGGATGGTTTTTTTTGTTTTAACTTGGATTTATTTAGTTTTCAGTTTAAGCGGTTTTATTTCCAATAATAAATTTAAAATTTAAATGCTGTTTTCTGAATTTGTCGGAAAATTTATACAGAATGAAATCAAAATCACATTTCATAATAATTATTATGCATATTTGAGTTGTGACCGTACGTGCGTATAAAAAGCGAAACCGCATTCTGCTATCGCTCATCTCTTGCCCTCGATGCAACTATAGTTTTGGCTTTTTGGCTCATTTGAAACCAATTGTTTCATATATGAGTGACTCTCCCGTGTGCATCCCAGCACAAGAATTTGTATTATGTTGATGAAAATTATTCAAATTGTTGCATATTAATATAATCGATTGACGTGGCGCAACAATAACAATTATCATCAGAATACGTATAATATATATAATTAAATGCAAATGCAATGTGCAATGTGCCGCTGAAAATTCTCTATCCGGGTGTATCAATTTTTTTATAATATGCTGTGAACTTTGCCAGACATTTTGATTCAATTGTTATTTTTGGTTCTTTTTTTTTGTCTTTATCGAGAACTCATATTTTAACCAAATAAGTATATGTGTTAGCAGTCAGATATTTACTATAAAAAGCATATGTTGCAACAAACCTCACAGAGAAGTAATTACTATTTGATTGATGTTTTCCGTTACACCCATGCAAATTTGCCGTGGATTTCCAAATGAGAACTCGATGCAAAACAAAATATAAAATACTTTTCGAAGAAAGCATACATGTTATGATTTAACTTTAACGTTGAATTTACTTGTTAGATGTGATTGTAATTTTCTCACATGAAATTCGCCAGTGTAATGAACTTTCTTTATTTCGATTTTTTGTTCAATTCATTAACAAAATGATAAATGATTGCTATAGAATAAAAACAGCGTATGAAAAGGTTGCATTTCAAAGCGAAACACCGTCATACAAAATACAGCAAAAAATGTATGTAAAAACAACGTTTGGTGTGCGACCGTATCATACGCTGTATTTATTCTAGAGAATTCAAATAATGTTTTTATTGAACCATGAGTGGTGAATAACATACAAAGAATGCGCCAAACTAAACATTATAATTTGAAAATTTTATAAATAGACTAATGAGCATTAGCCCCAACTAATGAGCATTTCCATATTTAATAATACGATGGATTTTTAGGTCACTGGATTTTGTCGATCTCCACAAGAAACCCGGAAATCTAGTCCAACCGGTTCGGTAACATCATCCGTATCAAATGTTATGCTAACACCATCACGTCAACTGACCGATGCCGAAAAGTTGCGTAAAGTAATTTTAGAATTAGTGGATACGGAACGAGCTTATGTGAAGGTAATTCAATGATATTTTTTATCAATTTAATTCGGTTTTCATCAATTTGACTTTGTATTAATACAAAATACATGCATCAATAGCACACAATTTTGAATTTCATCTACGTTCATTCAAAATGTGGTGTTATCATTCTTGATTTGTACGTACAAACGCATTTACAATAAAACTAAAAATAATCTATATAAACCAATCAATAATTTCGATTCAAAATTGAGAAATGTAAATAAAAATTTCTGAATAATTATAAGCTTATCGCTTAATAATGTTGCCAATGCAAACACTACATAATATCAAAATTATTATGTTGTCAATTGTGATTAGAATGTAATATGGTTGGGAGGGCGAAAAGTTCAAACAATGTGAATTTCTTTCCGTTGAACATTTCAAAAATCGTTCAACTGTTCACCTTTCTTAATTTTGTGAAAAACATTTGTCGTCATGTTCATAATTTGCATAGTTCCGTCGCCTTTATGTCAAAAAACAAGTTTCGAAGCAGACTACCTTATATCACATAAAAACGTAGAGCAATCGCATGAACGCATACACACGTTCAAATATTCACATCAAAATAAGAAGGAAAAAAAGAGAAAGTAGACAAAGAAAGGAGCTTGATTGAGTCACACAAAGAGAAGAGCTATTCAAGCATCACAAACGTTCAACCGGAACGATTTAAAGCATATTTTCTACGAATACGAGTTGAATGTCACAAATGGTGATATCACGTGCAAATCGTCTGGATGAGCAGTTGAGCACACATTATTCGTTCTTTTTAGTTTGAAATAATTCCTCATATAATTTAGATAAAGTTTTAAGAAACAAATTTTAACGTAAAAGCATCATTATCATGCACAACATACTAACCAGTCAATATATTGAGCTTACTGATCAGCCCAGTTAATTGATACACTTCAATTTTGTGAGAACAACAATTTTCTTCTAACAAAATAGAACTCCAGAGATGATAGATTTTCTATTCGACACAAAAATGACCACCCCAAAGCGTTACATTTTTCAACATTAAAATAGATAAAAAAACACCGTCGCCAGTACCACCATTATCTTCATCATCTACATTCGTGCATTAAATGCGATGGAAATTGTAACATGAAATTACCATTCATTTGATGTTCATTTCAATTTGTATAATTTAAAAGTTCTTCCTTGAAATTCAGTCGTATCAAACAGAGAAACTCACAATCGCGTGCTGTGATGTATTAAACATTCAACTATGCCAACAATGCAGAGAAAGAGAAAAATAGATTGGTCTCTTGATCGAAATCGATTGGTGCATCTAAACGGTAAAGATGTTTGCGATTAGTTGAAATGTGCGTTAAATGCATTTTCGTCAAATCAATTTAAACAAAAGACGGTTCTCCGTATAGGTACATGGCATATATGATGTTAAACGTACATAATCAACGACGATTCGATTAGTTTTATCCGTACAATCGTCCGGTTTGCAAGTTCATGACATTAGATGAAATGACATGCGTCGAGATTGTTTGAAATTCATTAGTGACAGATTTTCAACAATAAAAACCGTTTCCCATGACACCAATCAACATAACACAAAACGCACACACAATCTAATCAATGCCAGCATATCATGCAATTTTCACACAGAGATTGTCATTTGCTGCTCGAATGCATGTTCATCCGTTGCAACGTAGTCAAATCTTTGCAAAACTGAAAACAAACAAAAAAAGAAATTAATTTCAATTTTCAAGTGAAGTGAATACCGAAAATGTGATTTCGAGGGTCATCATACAATTCTCTTTAGCCACTCACTTAACAATAAAACTATGAAACGAAATCTATATGATGGATATCGGTTTATGAAAGCCAACGAAATCTATGTAAAATTCTCAATTCGGAAATGATATGTGCACGTCGATTTGTGAATTTTCCAATAAGTACGTGTACATTTGTGTGTTCATGCCATTACCATTTTATGTAGTCAGTTTATTGAATGTACACAAACATTATCAAGAGATATGCATACCATTTTGGCTTCTTGATGGTCTCGAGGTTGCAATCATTTTTGGAATTTCATTGTTTTGCGGTTTTGACCTGGAAAATTATTTTGACTCAGATTTTCCATTAGCGTGAAACTAATGCTCAACCACAAATGTGTGCGTTCGTCAGATTCTTTCGCATGCGACTATTTTTGTTTTTGTTTTGATTCATTATAATCACAAATTTTAAATTCAACTGCTGTGCGTTTGAATTATTTTGTCATTTTTGTTTTGTTTCAATTGCTTTTATTCTACACTATATTTGTGGTGAAGTTCGGGCTTAAACCGACTCAACATTGAAACCTAATTGTCGGTATAATTGTATATATAAATCGCAAAATTGTATAAGAAAAAGCTTGGATTATAAACCATTTAATCTGCGTTAAATACATAAAATAGATCTTTCCACAGATAAACAATAAATTAAACCATTCAGTATTATTTAGTTCGAACGAAAAGAATGATGACATTTTGTACTCTCTGATTTGACTTGAATCGATTTAAGAAAGTATTACAGCATTGTTCATTGTTCGTTTATTCATTCATAAAACATTTGTATTACAATTTATTGACATGATTTTAAATACAATCAATTTTCAGCATTTGAATAACTTGCTCGAACACTACTTGGAACCACTGAAGCGCGAAACATTCCTATCGCATGCCGAAATAGCAGCACTTTTTGGTAATATACAGGAAATCGTCACATTTCAACGTCAATTTTTGCAAAACTTGGAAGAAGCTCTTGATTTGGAGCCCGACTTCCATAAATTTGACCATTCAAGCCAATTCAAGGTAATTTTTTCGATTCAAAATGGAAACTGTTTGTTAAATCACTTCCACTATAATTTTCGGCTGACAGTGTTTTGATGTCACAAATTTGACAAAGAGTCCATAATTAATAGAATGTAAATCGTAGACGAAAAGCAATTTAGTTTTTCGAATTTTCAAGAGTCATTTGAAAGTTTTTGTAAAATTCGATTTAATATTTCTGTCACTTTTTTTATGTTTTGAGGTTGGAAAAATATTTAAAAAAAAAATGTATATAGAAGTTAGTTATTGTTTTCGAGGTGACTGTTTCTTTCACTTGTGCATATTAAATTCCGTATAGGCAAAATGGCGAAGTGAAGCTGCCGAAAGTATAGTGATTCTTTTGTTCAAATTTTCATTTATAACGAGCTGCCGCGTTGTTTTATGTACAAAACTTTTTCGCTTAAACAAATTTTGATGCAATTCATTTCATTTTTTTTCTTCTCTTTCTCATCTTCATCTCCGGTTTTTTTTAACGATTCAATGGACTTTTGTTTTGTGTCACCAGAATGTGCTGTTTTCCATTGGATCTGCATTTTTGTACTATGTCAACCATTTCAAATTGTATTCATCGTTCTGTGCAAGTCATAGCAAGGCGCAAAAAGTTTTACATCCGAGTAAGTCTTCACATACACACAAAAAAAAAACACGTAGAAAATAGTAAACTAGTATTATTTTGTAAAACAATTTAATTATGACAATTGAATGTGATGTGGCAAAAATAAATTGTAATCAGTAGAAAAAGTTATGCTGATTGGATTATGATGAAAATAATACCATTCCAATTAGTAAGAAATATTTGTTTCGGAACATTTTTGTAGATGAAGGAAATCAAGCGCTTCAAGAGTTCCTAATTGCGCGTAATCCAAAGCAACAACATAGCAGCACACTAGAGTCATATTTAATTAAACCAATTCAAAGAATCTTGAAATATCCATTGCTACTGCAACAGTTAAGAAATCTTACAGATCCTCGTTGTGAAGAACATACACATTTAGTTGGTAAGTTTTATCCCATCATAAAAATTGTAATTGTTAACGAATGATTGACGACTTTCTGCATTCATACAGAAGAAGAAAAAGATTAAAACAATTTTTTTTAAACATTCTTTGTGTTAAAACAGAGGCGTTGAAGGGAATGGAAAAAGTGGCCGAACATATAAACGAAATGCAACGAATTCACGAAGAGTATGGTGCCATTTTCGATCATCTATTCCGTCAACATCAAAAATCATGTAAACAGCCGATTGATTTGAGTCCAGGTATGCTATTGTGATACTTTCCTCGTATATGTGCGTGGTTGGCGCAATTGTGAATTTATGTTATTCTCTTTAGGTGATCTCTTGTACTATGGTGGTGTTGAATGGTTGAATATATCCGATTTCTTGGGTAAAATTAAGAAAGGTCTAGAGCTGCATGCAATGTGCTTCGTATTTAAATCGGCCGTTGTATTTTTGTGCAAGGAACGACTGCGACAGAAGAAAAAATTAATGGTAAAACAAATGACATAAATAAGCGCTAACAGCCAAACCAATAAAATGTTTCTTTTTTTTGTGTGTGTGTTCTCAAGGCGGTTTCGAATAAGAATTCAACGAATGAAGTGGAAATTATAAGATATCAGGTAAGTGGGGTTGTAATTACTATTTAATTTATGTATACTTTTGGTATAAGCTATAGTTGGATGCGTTTAATTAAATATTCAATACAAACATTGCTGTCAACGCAACCATACAAGAATGTCAGCTAAAGTAAAAAAAATACTTATACATACAAAAGACTATGATATAGAAAACTGCGCAAACTTGTTCATATCACATTTAACATATTTCAATAAACGTATCCGTTTTTTAATTTGAAAAAGGTACTGATACCGGTGACTGAGGTGCAAGTTCGTGCATCATCTGCAAAAGATATGGACTCACATTTCCTGTGGGAATTAATTCATTTGCGTTCCCAATTGCAACGACGATCCGAAAAAGTATATGTATTATCAAATAGTACGGCCGATTTTCGTAATGCATTCCTCAAAACGATTCGCCAAATTATACGCGAAAGTGTTCGAAATATGTCATTACCAATGAGAGGCATGGGCAGCGATAATTCATTGACCGATTTGCCGCCAATTCATCGTGGCTCAACGGGAAACTCACAAACTCTAGAAAGACCTAAACAACAAATTGTAATTAACATAATATTGACGTTTTTGTTTTTCGTTTCATTTTATGGCGTGTGCAGATTTTAATGATTTGATTTCCATCATTTGTTTATTTTGCGAATAGCCAATGATGCAAGGCTCACAAACTTTGGGCAAAACAAAGAAAACTAAAAGTTCGCAACGACATTCAGCTGGTAATATAGACTATGACAATATACAAGGAAGTCAAGAAGGTGAAGATGTTCCAATTCAAGTGCACACAGGCTTTAGAGTGCGCAGCAAAACTGTTGGAGATACTGCTGGTAAGTTGGAAATTGTGTTGAGAAGATGTTGTTATCGTATAACTAATTTGGGTTTGCAACTTTTTATATAAATATTTAGATCCACCAATTCGAAAGTATGGCGAACAAGAAAAGGATCCGGGCACAAAATCAGAAGGCGAGGAAGACTCACAACAAGGAACGATCAAAAAGATACTTGGCCGAACTCCAAATCATTTAACACTGAGGTGAATAGCAAACAATTTTTTATGTTTATTTTTTGAAATGAAGTGAATGTAATTAACCCGATTTTAACAACATTTTGCTCAATCATTTATTTTGCAGCACCACATCAACATTGTCTGTAGGAAGTACTGGTAGTCAAGCACGTTTAATTCAATCGTCACATGCTCCAGCCACGTATCAGCCGATTTTAATGAAAGATTTAGGTAAGCTCAAATCACCTAGCAAAGAAACCAATGTCACACAATTATTTGAAAATGATAAAACTGTGGTTGGCGGTGGTGTTGGCGATGACGAAGAAAAGTTCAGCGAACAGGTAATGGATCGTCATTTGAGCGAATTAGTTACTGATGAAACAAACACCATATGCGATATAGCACAATATATGGCAAATTTAAAAGAAAAACACTTGGAATCAGAGCAAAAGCTCGAATCGGGACATGTTGGTGGTCGCGTTATAAAAAGTTGCCTAAATCGTGGCAAATCTAGTGAAACGGATATTGAATCGGGTACAGATGACAGTGGTAAAGGTCAAACAATGGATACATTGAAGCCATCGTCTGAAGAAGATGAAATGAATCAAATTGTGATCGATAAACGCGTTGACAAAGTGTTTAAAAGTGACAAATCGGATAAAATAAAAGAGCCCGACATTCGGCGTCAAAGTTTAAAATCACCACGTCAAAGTGTTCAATTGATTCATTCACCGGATCGAAGTAGTGGTTTGAGTCCAATAAAAATTATCAAAGTAAAATCGCCACGCGGTAGCATGGATAGTGGCAAACGTACAAGTGTTAGCCGAGATAATTCACGTGAACGACAATCAGCCAGTGGCAGAGTTCGACGTGCATCAGAAGGTGGCATTTTGAAAACGATGTATTCGAATGATGCGCCCGCTATCAGTGGTGGCATTTTGAAACGAAGCATTAGCCCGAAATTAAAATCACCCGAACGCCAAAATAGTCTGTGCTCACGAAAATCATTGAGCCCCGGCACAAGTTTTGATTCACGTTCACCCGATCGATGGCTATCACCACATAGCAGTTTTGATAATCGTTCACCCGATCGACGTTCATCAGAGAGTTGTTATGCTGATCTTGATTTTCATAATTTTCATAAAAACGGTCACATTCGCAGTAATCAAAGTAGTTTTGAATCACGATCACCCGAATGCGATAGAAAACGTAGCCTAAGCGCACACAGCAGCTTTATGCTGCCGCCCAAACAGCATGAAATGCAATACCAATATTATCCAACCGATCATCGTGTCACATCTCGTTCACCAGAACGAAAAGGTAAACGTTTATCGAAATCACTTGAACGTACCACACCGAAAGAAGTTTATTATTATTGTAGCGGCTTATCGCCGGAACGAATTTATCGAATCGGCTTACCAAATCGATCACAATCGGCCGATAATGGAATGAGTCGTAATGGTTTGATTTTGACACGATCAAATGACTCTTTGGCACGTTCGCTTGAGCATCCAACATGCGTTGAATGTCTGTATCAACAGAGAAAAATGGATCAACAACAAAAGACCCGTGTACGACAAAGTCGAGCACGAAAGAAAGTACCACGTGGCTCAATCCAGAATGGTCAATTGAAATATCAACGCAGCCGCAGTAAATCCGAAGAGAGTTGCGTCGATTGCAATGACTTTTATGAAATCCATGTTTAAACAATAAAAACGAACAACTAATTGTATCTAATGCCATTCACGATGAAAACAAGAACAAAAAAAATGAAGAACAAACATAATGCCTACGATTTACAAATATACATAAATATACATCGTTTCCTTAATGTCCCCGAGTCATAGTCGTTGTAGGGTATTCAGAATTGATGTTTTTATTCGCGGGTAACATAAGAGTACAACTGTTATTACATTTTAAATAATTTTTTATCAACTTTTTTCCCCGTATTTTTGTTACTTCAAATGCAAATCATTGTAAATATTTTATGCAAACGTGAATTAATTTGTTCCAAACATTTTAGATAGTTGATTATATTTACACATTTTATTGAGATTAGCAACAACAAAAACAACAACAACAACAACAAAAAACGAAGTGAGAAAAACAAACAAAACGAAATTATGAAGCGATTACATTTTGAGTAACATTAAAATCAAAGCATGTACCTAATTTGTGAATGATAAATTCCACATGAAACACCTACACACAGATTTATATATACATACATATACTTTAATTAGTGAGTGTGAAACGTGCATAATCCGCATTTTGGTTCCATGTTGGTTGACACACACACCATAATCGGACAGCGAAAGTTGGTGCCGACGATTGATGAACTTTATAACTTATTTTGTATTGAATTATTAACATGTATAGTGTACACAAAACGATTGCACAAATCAGTCCGAGCATGATTCATTTATTTTTTAAATCTAAACAAAAATATGTTAGCTCGTTAAGAAAGAAAGAGTGTATTTCGGGAATGTGAATTTTGGTGCTATAGCAACAAATAACACGATGTGAATTCATTGAAATCACATCATTTTTAATACGCTTATTGAATACTACTTTTTAGAACAGATTGACTGTAGAAAAATGCACACATACACACATGACAAGAAAAAAATGTTTTTCAAAGTGAAATCAACATCTGATCGGCATTGGTGTTAAAATCATCACATGAAAATGTACTCTTTCTTCAGAGTGAAACTATTTAAAATTGACCAAAGAAAAGAAGAAAAGCAAACAACTGTATCAATCAAAGCCAGCAAATTTTGAATGAAAGTGAATTATTATAGGCTTTTATAAATCGGAATTCACTTTTCGCATGGATCCAATGTTAATTTTTCCAAAGATAAAACACGAGAAAAAAAGTAAATCGATTACCTGAAACTGTCACAATCCCGTTCGTATTTCACATTGAGCGTTTGCAAACCTTAAGCTCTTTTTGATATAAATATATGTGTGTGTGTATGTGAACAGGTAAGTGCTGATGGAAAATTGAACTCTGGATCCATTGAATTTCCGTGTGTGTGTGTGTGTGTGTTTTTTTTTCACATATAAATGATGCCAATAAAACCTTTTCTGACATGAAAAAAATTATACCAAACTGTAGTAAAATCACACCCATACACAAAACCAAAAACGCAAACAAACAAAAAATACCATGTTCTTAGCAAATCCAACTGATGTGAGAAAACATACAACAACAAGCAAAAAAAACCTAAACCCAAATCGGATTCAAGCCAAAAGTTATATTATACATATACTCTATACATATGTACCTTTTAAATCAAAATGCATGTAAAATAAATTAAATATAATATTGTGTATAACGGCTTTGTAGCAGTAAAATCAAAACCCCTTAAACAATAAGCATTATGCAAAACACATTCAATACACTATCCTCAATCAAACGCAATCAAACCATTGTTGTTCCACTATCGTGTGTTCCTTTTAACATCCAAATGAGATTTACTACTGTCCATTTTTAACAAAAAAAAAAAAAAGATCAAGAAAAAGCAAACAATAAAAAGAAAAAGAAGAAGAAGAAAAATCAATATGTGAATAGCGTTTACCTTTCAAAATATCACATAAAGCGTTCGCTTCGGTTAATCGGAAACGCGGTAAATTTACGGAGATTTTTCCATTCACAAGCTTCTCTTCATTTTTCCTTTCATTTTCTATCTATATGTATATGAAAATTAAGATTAGACGGTGAAAATGTTAAAGTTTTAACTCCATCGTTGTATAATTACATATAATACATATACAGTATACAATAAGCCTCTCTTTATAAAGCTATGAAGCAACAAAAGCATTATAAAAGGGCAAGCAGTTGATTTTTTTCTGTTTATATTTTCGATAATCTGGAGTCGCTATTGAAAGCCAAACTCAAAACTTCTTTTTAACAACAGCCAAAAGAACATAGTCATTTGCACAATTTTCCTTCATCGAAACTGCTTGAGCATTAATACCATCATTACCCGAACGAAAAATTTATATACAACATTCACTCACAACAAAACAAACGAGAAACATAAAATGCATAATTTTATCTACTGTTATTTGCACATGAACTTAGCAAGCAGTTTAAGCAAAAGTTGAAAATTAAATTTGAATGCAAAGTATTAAGTACAAACGAACAAAGAACAAAAACAACAACAAAAAAAAATAATCATAATGAAACACAAACACAAAATTTATTATTATATGTTGTTAAAACTGAGTTCACTATAAAATAAATAATATACAGTGAAAAGCACATATAAAATCCGAAGGAAAATGAATACTTTTCTACCCTTTCCCTCCTCGATCTACATTCTCTGAACTGTGCGCACCTCAACTAAGCATACTGAAATGATAGTACTACTGCACTAATACCATGTTAAGCATATATATTATATTATCATTAATACATCCATCAGACACTCTCGTGAATTACGATGAACAAAATAGTAAACTTCAAAAACCATATTTCACTAACCAAACACCACAAAGATTCGTGCTCATCCACATAAAAAACACACACACACACACATCCACTTAAGCTCACACACACACACGCACACTCATAACTTCACATTCATCCCTGAAAACTAGATTATATTTTAAACTTGTAACGCGTAAATGTGTTTGCTTCAATAGTTTGAGAATAAAAAAAAAATTAATAACTTAATTTGCAATGTGATTTTGACAGTTTGTAATGTTACAAAAAAATGCTCATCTCTGAATACATCACACCATACAAACATCTGATTGACGGTGCTATAAACTTTATTACATAATATATAATTCTTTGAATGCCATACTCGAACGATGAAGGAAAAAATCCAACTTTTCCACGTACAAATTTCTACATTGTAACCGAACAATCAAAATAATCAGAAATCAAAATAGTGTTTTTCAATACATGTCCGATGCTTTCACACCCGCTTCCCACAGATATAATATATATTTTACCAGCAATGTCCCGAAACTTAGCCAATATATTCATTCAATGAAGCTTACAATCTCTTTATTTGTTCTCAATTCTTCTTTTTTTTCACAAATATCTATTCGTCTCACTTTTGCGCGGAATACAGCAAATAGTTTTTGTTTTTTAAATCTAATTGTTAGTTTATTCATATTTTGTAATTTTTTGTGCATATTTTCCACATTCACAAATCATTCACTCCACTCATTCACATACACACACATATACACAAAAAAATATACTCAAATATATTCCAATAGTGCCATCAAATGAATGTATAATATAGTAGATGTCAAATAAACGAAATAAAATCATCACACAGCACCAACCACAAAATCAAATCGTTGCCAATTCATATGGAATTCAATGAATTTTAAGCATAAAATAGCGTTTATTTCGTCACATTGCCATGAATGCAAAGAAAATGAATGAAAGAGAGAAACGATCAACTTTTAACACTTCTAACACATTGTATAAAATGGTTTAGTGTTAAACAATTTCTTCAATGATCATATCGATGAGATTTGCGTTTTGGTACGAAAGCAAACAGAAAAATGTCAATCGAATACAGTAACCGCGTCAGAATACAAAACTACAAGAGTCTACGCCTACCACCACCGTCACCAAATGTACATTTACAGCGACATAGTTTTGTCACTTTTTTCCTTCATTATTTTTCTGGTTTCCCAATTTTTTTGGTTTTCAATTTGTTTTGTTCTTTTTTTTTTGGGTAATAAAATTTAAAATTAATTTTCCAAATTGTCTACTCTTTAATTATGCCTAAATTAAGTTGAAATCACAAATGAATTGGTGACATATAGAAAATAAAATCTGTCATCAATTCGATGTGCAAAAAAAATGTGTAAATCCATCATCGTTGCCAGTGGCCAATGGATATGTTGTCATGATCGTCTGGTAAACAAATCACATTCGTGAAAATGTATGGCAAATTCATTTAATTTTAGAAGAAAGTTTTTCAAACTATATGGACCCGATGGCATTTTCATTTCAGAAGAAATAAGAAATAAAATCAATTGAAAAGAAACGAATGTAATGACATTTTTATTGATGACCAGATGTTCATAGCAACATATACATACTGAATGAAGATGTGATTGCCGAAATCCCAATCCAATTTGAGTAATGATATTCAAATTCAAATTGGAAGCGGTTTGACATCTTTTTACAACAACAAAAAACTTTGTTTCTATTGTATCCAATAATATTTTCGCACGTACATACCTAACTTTGCGTTGTTGTGATGCTTGCAATGGCAACTATATTTATTTTTATTTTTGTTTTTCAACATCTTTTTCTTTCTTTTCACAAATACATAACAAAAAAAAAAGCAATAATTTGGCAAACAAAACAAACAAAAAAACAACAACATATTTTTATTCATTTGTTTCTTTTTTACTTTTCTTTCTTTGAATTCGCCCCTTTTTCGAACATTGAGCAGGCAGTCCCATTTGGAAAATGCGAGGGGACATTGGAGATGCGGCACGAAAAGACGAATCAAAGTAAAATGATGAGAACGAAGAGAGAGGATGAAGGGAGAGAAGAAAATTTCAAAATGAAATAGAGAGAAAGAGAAAAAAAACATAAACTCGAAAACGTTTCGTTTTTTTTCTATTCATCGATTTGTGACAAAAACAAATGAACATTTTCCTTAAATGAACTCAAACCCAATGAATATTAAAATGGTTGAAAATCGTATTGCAATTATGAATTACATGTTACGAGTAAAATAAATGAAAATTTGGAGAAAAAAATACAACATACACACCACACAAACAAATATAAGTAAAATCACGGACACACAATAGTGAGAATAAAAAAAAATCTATTTAAAATTGTAAACTCAAACGATTAATCGAAATAGAGTCAGGTGATGGTAATCAAAACAAAAGGAGACGAAGATAAAAAAGAAAATAAGTGAATTAAATGCAAACACAGAAAAATTACTCGTTAAAAAATTTAGTATTTAATAGATTTTTAAAAAAGGGGAATGGAATGAGATGAAGAAAAAAACCATAGAAATGAAATATCGATTTAAATATTAAATTTACATAGTTATAAATAGTAAGAAATGAAATAAAATGGTATTCACGCTCGCATAATATGATACGGTGATTCATCAGCGAGATAAAATTCAAAAAAGAGACAGAATTAGCGTCGCATTGCGCTATTGCACGCACACCAACACGTGAATCGATACCATTCGGCGGTTTTTGCAAATGTATTTTATGCGCAGATTACTCTGTAAAATAGAAGGGATTAAACATTAATCATTTGGGATTTTTTATCAAAATAATCCAAAAGGAATAAATGTTGGCACTGTAGGATTAAATTTAAATACTTACGAAAAGTAGCTATAATAAGAGCACGATGACATCCCGCACAACACCCAGGGCTTACGGCCGAGATTTTCGTACTTGATCTCGGATAGAACGCGATGTTCCTTGTATTGGTTGTTGATTCTGAAAATAATGATTATAATAACATAACTTAATGTGAACTTCAAGTTAAACATAGTTAGTGTGCATTTTGAATATTCCATAATGAAATTTCATGTTTAAGTCCTATGTTTGAATTGTTTAACAAATAACAAATTCATTACTTATTGTTCATATTGAGAAATCGATTCAATCAAATGCACAAACCATTGTAGAGTATATTGCGGCCGGCGTTTGTATCACGATTCTATGTGATAGTCTGACCAATTCTCCGTTTTATTCGTAGCGTCGGAATTTTGATGCCATACGTGGTCCAGGACAAGGTCGATGTTTTCGTTGTTTCGTCAAAAGACGATTACTCTTTCGTGAGTCGATGGTTGACTTTCTTATCGCAATAGTTCGCATCCACGGCAAGTAAAGTATCGATATTTCATCTTCACACGATCACCTTTCTTTGAAAATTCCAAGTCTTCTAAACACAGCGAGCATATCTTTGTTGTTCGAAATTCATCCACTTTGACCACTGTACAGTTGCGCCGACACTTCATTTCGACCGAATATAACCTATTTTTTTAAATAAAATCACAAATAATATTTGGAAAACTCAATATAATGGTGTTATAAATTCAATCATAAATAAATAAATAACCTTTTGCTTCTGAGTCGGCAGCAATGAAATTTTCACCCACAATTACGAATGTTTCTTTGCCATCGATCAACCAGTCTGCCAACTTATCGAGTGTCTTATTCGTATCGATGTACTGTAGAAAATCTTGAAGTGCATATTCGTACTGCGTTTATGCTTCCAACTTCTCATTGGAATGCCATAAAATATGATCGACATATCTATCAATGTTATCTGAATGTGGACCTGGTTGCTCATCAAAGGATTCTCGGTGAATACGCATTTTTTCGTCGATGTTGAAAGTCAAATTTTTTGCGCCATTTATTTCGCTTGCGATAGCCGATCATGTGATTATATTGACCCGATGTCAATCGAACGAGTTTTTCGCGGCAATTTTCCTTGTTCGGATCATTGTAATTGGTCACACAAACACCGCCAATCACCAGCCGAAGACCTGGATCGAGACCATACGCTTGTTGCGCTTTCAATAATTTTTGTTGTGTCTATCGCATGGTTTCATTTTCGTCTTTGACAACAACGAATTTTGTGCGTTCCATCAAAAATGGCATGGCCACTCCATCCGTTTGAATTTTCGAACTTTATAGTGGCATGATTGTCATTTTGCGGTGTTCTTTCGATGGCATCAATGTCAAAATACGTTCACCAAAGCACGTCCCAATCAGCGGCTTTTAATTCAGTATACTACTTTGGTGTTCCATCACGTCTAATGAGCCATGGATGTGGACATTCGATCGCTCTCAGCATGAAATAAAGACCTTGCTTATCGATGCGAATGTGAAATTCGCCAGCCATCGTCATCGTACAAAAATATGCTCGACCATCTCCGAAACGAATTGGATGCAATTCAATTTTTAGTATTTCAGCTACATACGGATCTGGTACGCGCTCTGATTTCTTTTTGAATAGATATTCCATGGTTTCGTTGATCTGTTTTTGATGAATTTATAGGTTCCCGGTATTTTAAAAATGGGCCTCTAAAAATTCATCAAAATATACAATCACCGATTCATGTGATCGAACGGGTTTACAATAAACAAACTATTAATGCGTTCATTCACTCTTGCATAAATATAGTTTCACAAGTCTTCGATGCAAACGAACCAAAAACTTTCTTCACTTTGTTTTCACTAGCTATGAAACATTTTATCAGAAATCTAATAAATAGCACAGAAGCGATGGAAAAAAGGATTTTATTGAAAATCATCTTTTAATAAACAAACCAATCGAAATTCCAACAGAAACAAAAAAAGTTTTTTCGATAACGATGCACGCGTTTTACACAACAAACATAAGACCGTGAAAGGTTATCTTTCTAATCGAAAGACAATGAGAGGAGTTTGAAGTTTCATGTAAATGTCAATACAATATGAAACCGTGTTCCACCAGAATGATTATTCATGGAATATTCAAACAATTAATACAATTTATTTACATTAAAAAAATAAATACAAAAAATCTTTCTAGCACCTTCTTATTTCATTTTAATCCATTTGGATTTTTTATTAAATAAATCCGAAAGGATTATATTTTAATCCCATCGAAATTACAGTGTATCATCATATATGGAAATTCAATACATTTTGCTCGATTGAAAATGAATTAAGTGGAGTTAAAACAAACATACATTCACTCGCACACACTTACACTCATTCACATTCAGAAAAAATATGATGTAAGATGAAAACAACAAAACGAAAATTAAACTATATGTATAACAAAATTTAGCAAACATTCATTACACGGAGAACGACAGACAAAGAGACACACAGAGAGAGCAACTCTGCATTTAATTGAAATAGATTAAATATGTGGCATTACTCTCTTTGTTTAAACCAATTCACCGATCACCAAACAACAACAACATGTTAAATTTTTACCCCTTAGGAGAGTGTTAAACGATTTATTGTTGAATATCTGATTGAATTCAAACTTTTGTTTTTCACATTTTTGTCGAATCAACATTTTAAATAAATATGAAAATATATAATTGAATTAATTTTATAAAAAAATAGATCTTCCAAAAAACTAGTAATTAATTGGAGAAGAGAAAAAGAAAATAACAACAACACACAAAATATGTAAAAGGACATAAGCAACCTAGAGACAAATACATGAATTACATGTAAAAATGAAAATAAACACAAAACAATTGTTTCGTTCATATTTCGTTTGCATTTCGTTTCTTTTTTATGGCCACGCATGTTGGACATTAGTTACAAAAACATTTAATTCTATTTACATTTCATATTCACACCAACACAAAACATACGAACTACGTATTTAAAACAAACAAACAAACAAAATGAAACAAATGTAAAACTTTTATATTTTGCTCACTTTTTTTAACGAATAAATGAAGAAGAAAACAAAAAATTTAATAAAATAAAAGGATACCAAATAAAAACAAACAAACGAAAAAAAAAAAATTGTTGTGGTGAACCAAAATGACGTCGAGTGATGCATCGACATTGCCATTTTTGTTACGTAAATATGCAATCAATGCTAATTGGGTATATTGAAATATCATCGAATGCATAAAATGCGAAGCAAAAAATAAAAATGCCCACACATACACCGCTAGACACACACAAAACAATTATAAATAATAAAACTCGAATAGTTGATATAATTGCGGATTTACGTTCAAACAAAATGCCAATGTCAACCACATCGTCAACGCAAAAAATAAATATATATAAAAAAAAGTGTGACTAATTTAATAACAAATGAAGGGAACGACTATCTAAAACCATTATTCAATAATTATTTATTGTAGTAAAATTAAGAATGTCGATGAGTCTCATTTGGAAACCTAGTAGAATTATAAATCGAAAATAAATGCATATAAATCATGATATTCTTTTCACTCATTCACACAAGTTCATACACGTTAGATTTATTGTTAAAGGATCTAGTTTAAAAAAAAGAAGAAAAATTTAAAAACAAATACAGAACAAGGAAAGCAAACAAACAAAATATGATAAAAGAGCCTGTAATAATCTATTGATCAAATGAATTGTTCGCGTGCAATTTAAATAAAATATATAGAGCATGGAAATACTATTTCAATGTGTCATTATTTAGTTGACAGAATATAAATTTATATTAAAAACACATTATATGTGCACATTTCAAATAAAACACACACATACCATACAGAACTCAACGATTTGGGTTTTTTTTAAAGAAGGAACAAAAAAAAAACTAATTACGTGATTTCACACAATTTAACAAAATTTAATTCCTGTTCTGTCATCCCCATTAATTAATTTATCTCTCTCATTTCATTTTTCGGGTAAAATCGATGTGTGAACCACCAAATTATTATCAAATCAACCACCACACCATTGTTATCAAATGAATGATGCCAAAATATGTTCACAGAAACGGAACAATTTTTGAATGTAGTTATTTTATTTCGATGTTTTTGAACAAAAAAAAAATGGAATTGATGCACACAAAAATCAGGCAATCAATCACAATTTTAGTAATTGGTTTGATTTTTAGTTGTTCTCCTTTTTTTCTATTCGAAGCGTTTTCCACTTACCATTCTTTTCTTCCTTCAAAATTCACACTATTTTTTTTAATCGGTTATAGCGTGAACACAAACTATACCATCATAGACGCACACCTCAATGCTTAAGCATATGGCGTTGTTTGTGTCTCTGGTTATTTCATTTGTGAAAAATTATAATTCACTAGGCCACGAATTTCCAGAAATAGGTAGCTAACTAGGCGAATGCAGTCGAATTTATGATGAAGTATCAAATTTTGTATTTGATTTCATATTTTTCATACTTGTAACTTGATCGCCATGGCGTTCGAATTCAAAGTATACATCCAGGTATTCTTTTTTTTGTTTTCATTTCGTGCAATCTATGTATGCGGATTGCAAATACAATGAAATTGGCTTCAAGTGGCCAAATTTAAAATTCAGTTTAAATATACACTTCCATTTATTGAATCATTTTCTGAATTTGTTTCAACTAAACATGGTCCTTTCAGTATTTATACAAAAAAAAAAGTAAGATAAGAAAATATCCATGCAATCCAATCATCAAATTTAAATGCATTCGGTGGCAACAAAAATTCACACAATCTCACAAATACCAAACAAAAAATGATAAGAAAAACGAGATAAAATCAAATTCCATGTTTCACATAGAATTACCGTAGTTTGTGTAGCGATTTAACTCTTTACGACGGCCAAAACAAATTAGACATTAAAAAAATAACCCACAGAAAAAAATCAATAATATCAACAAAAAAAATCAACATAAAAAAATAAAATTTGCTAAAAAAACATTGGCCTCTACTCTAATCAATCAATTCCATTTTCTTTGAGAGATAAACACTACATTTAAATTTAAACGAACCATAATAAATTAGCAAACCAAAAAAAAAAAATTAAAAAAATTTGCAACGTACCAGTTTTTAATAAAAACTTTTTATCTTAACACAAACAAAAATGTAAACTGCACATGTTCTTCCTAATTTTTCCATGCAAGTGAAAAATACAAAGTTAATCGTCATGTTTGCAAGCAGTATGAACTAAATAATACAAGAAACAATTGCATTTACTTCAATCAAACAAACAAACAAACAAACAAAAAGGAGTAATGTTTCCAAAATAAATGTGCGTATGTGTGATTATGTGTGAAAACAAAATAAATTAAAATAATGTTCGAATGACAGGTAACAATACCAAATATACATTTATAAATGTTGTATTTTAGAAATTTGTTTTACTTTCTTGGTGTGTGCATGTATGAGTGTGCAATTCAAATAAATCGATGATCGAATGAATGAGCGCATTGAATGGACTAAACCAAAGAAAACTTCACCATAACAAATTTATAATATTAATGAAAAATGTTGAATGTTGATCACATTCGAGTGCTAGACTTATTATAATTCATTTATGAATTTTGCATATTAAAATGAATGTGAATGAAATGAATGCTCACGATAATCTCAAGTGATTACCACTCAATCAAAAGGCAAATGAAAAATATCGAATACTTTCGTTACAATGGCTATTAATTCGAATGATAGTCAAACGAAAGACCATTTTTTCAATGTCCATAATTCTGTTTCTTTTTATTTCTAAATTACTCGTCATTCCAACGAAGTTAAAGCAAACGAATTTAACGACCAAACAGCATGAAAATGGCACAGAAAGTCTATCGAATTCATTCACAATTCTTGACACATATAAGGATATATCCGTATTTGCCAACATTCCGATTAAATCGACTCTGATTTTAATTAAAACACAACAAATTTGTTTTTAAATTTAATTTTGGTTTTGTTCGAGTTCAATATGTCTCTCGTTAAATATATCCTCACTTTGGTGTAGTAAAACTTTTAGATAGATTGCAAAAATTCCTTGCGAAACGAATGCGAGAAAAAAGTAAATCAGAATACACCTAATTAACAAGAAAATGAAATAACATCCAATATTGATACACCGTTCAACTCAGTATACGACACAGTCGTGTGACATTTATCAACATAATTATAATGCATTCAAATTTGCACCATGATGAAAAATTTGGAAAACAAATGAAACAAACACACACATAAATTTATGTAGTCACAAAAGTTTAAAAAGGAATAATGAAAATAAATGGTTTGAAAAAGTTGGTATGATGTGATCAAGTTTTACAATTTTTTCTTTTGTGGGTACGAGCATAATTTCATGATAATATTACATCTTCGAATGAATTTACGTAACAAATTCACCGAATGACCGTCAATTTCTGTTCAAATATTATTGACCCACACAAAGAAACAAATCGGACAACCGCACATTTACAGTAATTAGCAACGGATGCACAAACCATGTTCCAAGTATGAACCACATTCTTTGCCGTACACATTTTTCTATACACACCACGTTTAGAGCATCGAACTGAACATAAAAAACTTTTTGTTTAAATTTTTAAATGACATCCGTATATTTATTATGAAAATCGGTGAGCAATAATATTAAACAATATACAAATTTTTGTGCACGTTAATGCATAGCCATTGTGTGCTGTCTCAACCGTTTTTTGACTTCAAGTGCCAACAAAGCGTATTTTCAAATTTAAACAATTTTTCGGTGCGTGTGTTTAAAAAAAAAAAGGTGACAAACAAATGGATTATGTGAGACGATGAAATGAAATGACTTTGGTAATTGACGGCAATGTATTGCGTTTAAACATAATTTCAAAATAAAACTCGAATAATAATTAGTTAACGAAGCCACAACATATAAGATACAGGACATTGCAAATCGAAAGGGCAATGAATCTATGACGTTTATTCAAAATTAAATCGCATAAATAAAAATGCATTCCAAACAAAAATAAAAACGGACGACAGAGAGATAGACGCATATAGTTTCAGCTGTCATCCATACAAATGGTTTCTGCAACTATCGCCCTCATATTTCTTTTTCCATGAGATACACAAATTACTAGAGAACAAAAAATGAACAGAAATAACAAAATGCACTAGCTCAAAAACCATAGATTTTATATTTATTACCAAAAAAAGAGAACGAAAACAACAACAAAAATAACATTAACAAAAAAAAACATGAATGTAAGCAAAATGGTAGCCACACAAAATGGAAAGCAATAGTGATTCGATTTACATCGATTCACTACAGTAGTTCAATGACCGTGAACAAAGTATTCGCCAAATTGTTTTTCAATTGATATATCTTGAATTTCGTTTACAATCTATAAACGTGACACATCGCATCTATAGTTTTTCCACTATAAATTTGCATTTCGTTTCAGGAAATGCCCATTCGTTTAATTGCTCACACATTTGATTAAGTATTTCATTTTTCGCCTAAGTGTTTTTGAGCGCAATAAATAATCAACAACCTCTTCACACTTATATTATTACTATGTTTAACAGATTTTTATTAGCAAAACACACAAGACACATTAATTCTTCGTGATCGCATCAATTTCATTAATTTGCAGTAAAACATACATACTCACCGATCAACATCATGAGAACGATAAAATGCATTTAACGTATGGACAGAAAACAAAAATGAATTAGATCAACAACAACAAAAATTCGAGAAATAGACAATTTTTGAACGTAAAATGAGAAAAAAAAATGGCAAAGATTTAAACTATATAATAAACAAAAAAATATTAAATATTGGACCGTAATAACCGATAGAAATATATATATATATAAACAGAAATAAAAAGACAAACAAACGCTCACATATGCGCGCAGAGAGAGAAAGTTAGAGTATATAACGATAATTATTATTAAAAGAAACAAAAACAAACCAAATATTATGAGTTTTTGAATGTATTGCACGAAATTGTTGTATGTACTCTTATTGAGCTTTCATTAAACAGAACCTAAACTACATCAATTACAAATTTAATGCGACTTGTTTCATTTTTCGATTTGAAAGTTTTTTTTCTTTTTTCAGTATTTATTTACACGTACAGTGAAATTTATAGAGGGTAAGACAGGTGAGTAAAAATATTATATCGGAGTGAGTTGGTGCTCAAAGCTCGTTTTTATCCTTATTGTAGGCGCAAATTAAGCACTTTATGTAAGAAAACAAGACACATAAAAAATCTAAAAAAATTCCAGCTGAAAAAAAACTATGCAATATACAGGGTGCGGAACTCGAAGTGATACAAATATATAAGTCTGTAATTTTTGTAATCGTAAACAGATTCTTTTCATCCAAAATTCAAAATGTAGCTAAATGTTCCACCTTTATGGATCACCACTTCAATTTTAATAATGTTGAGTTATGGTTATGACTTTAGGTCGATGAAATATATTTTTTTCGTTTGTCCGCAAACGGCCAGGCGAAATTTATCTTACCCTTCATCATAAATTTTAGCCAAGATCTTACCCTACCACATACTCAAGTTAGTTAGGCGATAGAACAAAATATTCTAAAATGAAATTTTACATTTTTATTTATATTTTTCAGAACAACTTTTCTTTTCGCGTGAACTTCTGCTTAAATAAAAATTTGGTTGGGTAACATTTTGGTATTGCCTTTTTAGTTATTGTGTTGACTATTACAGTGATGTTTAGTACAATCCGTTGCTTAAATTATTCGTCTTTTTACACTAAACGGTATATTTTGCTTACTCTTTGAATGAAGAAATAAAATTTAATATTTTTTAATTTGAAATCAAAAGTAATGTTCAAATTTATGCATTATTTCAATCGAAAAACTGAACCGAATTCTATTTGGTTTATGAATTTTGAAATTATCGTGTGTCAATGAAATTTTATTGTTTTAAAGTCACAAATGTGAAGTGGAATGTGAATATTTTGACTTTTGAAATGTAAAGATTCATTTTGTCATCCTACATCAAAAATACATTCTTAATTTTGATAATGAACTACTTAGTGTGTTTTAGACACACAAACGGGTGTCTTGCAATAGGTTAAGAAACCTGAGCAACGAGAAACTATGGATTTTGCTGGATAGCAGACCTAGTATACTCCCCGTATAAATCCAATAATCCAATAACCATTTTTCTTTTGATAAATAAAATTCGTATTTGAATCTTTCGCAAAGAAAAAAAAAACATTATTTTCATGTGCATGCACACAAATTCTCACTCTTCACAATGTGCAACATACACAGAATTCGGATTCTGATATTAGCAATTCTGATCTTTATATAAAATTGTCTGCTCTTATCAATTTTACTGCATTTATTAGTGACTAAAACATAAATGTGCATATCACTGCATTTAGCCGGAATCGGTGGGCGCTAGTGAAGCACTTTTTGTATGGAAATATTTGATGAAAATTCAACAATACGCCACCTATTAAAGACAATAGAGATTTTCGTTACTACTGCTGTGTTGATACAGCTCTAGCGAACTATATAGCTGTATTGCAAACGTATTAGTACTGACACCGATTCTGTGTATGCGTGTTTGTTATAAATTTTGCACAAGCAGCTACAGTTAAAGAACATTAAAGAGTAACAAAAATCTTTATGTCTTTTAATAGATGTCGTATTCGTTGAATCTCCAACAAAAAATCTTCGATACCAGCGCCCACCGGCTGGAATCAATTTGAAAATGTCATGATTAATTAATCATGTTTTTGATTAACGCCGAAGTCTGTTTGTCTATAGCATTTTTGACCATGATGATTTTTGCATTTTGAATATATTTTTTTTTAATTTCACGCTTGATTAACTACCTGTGACTTCTAAAAAAATTATGTATTATTATGATGGGTAATAAATTGCTTTTCAATGAAATTATAATAAATTAAATGCTTTTTGTGAATACAATAGAGTTTTTGTTTCGATTCCGTGTCTGGACCAGGTAAATTTAAAATTTAAGAAAAACGAATTTTGATGTGAAGGCATCTCAGAAGTTCCAATACCATTTTCTATGCACACACCTTTTGACTTAGTTTAACTGTATCAACTCAAGTTCGTTGTCTAGTTGCTCGATTGCGTTCAATTCGATGTTTTCCACGCCGGGATAAACTCGACCGTTCACATGCAGCACCAAATCAACTTGGTGGTCAACGCTTGAGTAAGTTTCGGAGAATTGTTTACTTGCGATATAAAACGGCTTCATCAAAATATCGTTCATGTGCCAGTACAACTTCATCAGCATTATCGAGTTCAATGCAGCTCGAACCAAGGACTCTTTCGATAACGGTCGAATGTTGTAGTCGAACTGAAAACCATGAAATGATATTCATTTAGCTCAACAATGAAATTGCGTTTCTCTTTCACAAAATAGTAAAATAAGTTTACCTTGCTGAGAATGAAGTCGTCTGGCAGTTCAAAGTATTTTTCGTAGCATTTTTGTAAATTTATATGCTCGTGTTTCTTTTCCAAATTGAAATGTACCATCTGCAAAATATTCATTCATAATTTTTACTCAATGAAATTTTTCTTTAAAAAAAAAAACAAATTCTATTGCTATATTACGTACCAAAGTATCAAAAACGTTGTTGATGGTGCACGTTTCCTTGTGAAGTAGATAGTCCGCCAATTCAGCTGAGCTGTGCACTATTTTTCGTGGTAAATCTGATGAAAAAATTTCTTTAAATTCTTTTTTCATTTGTCCGAGGCGCAGCATGTCGAATATGTAGACTTTAGATGGTGTTGTCAATGTCAGCAATGGACGTTTTGTATCGAGTCGGCCAAAACTATTCTCAGAATTAACGGTGATTATTGATTGCCGCTTCAAATCATCAATGGAACTGTGGTATCTTTCATCGTGTTGTGCAATGTGTACCGTTTCTCTGGCCATATTTTGAATCGTTGCAATTTCAATTTGGGAGAATTTCTTTTTCGCAATTGAACCGTTACGTTCACATCGTGGTTTGTTATTGCTTTCACTTGGAACTTCATGTTGCGTAGTTGGCACGTGGATTTTAACAATGGATTTGACCTCCGAATGGTAAAAATTTTGATTGAACTTTCGCTCCTTTCCAGAGATCAGATCCTTGCTCTTTTTGACAGTGAATCCATTTTCGTTTTCGCTGACAAATTCGGCATGAATATCGCGCCCATTGTATAGCTCAATTTTTACTTTATCGCCGGCTTCTAATACGTGTTTTGCCATTTTATTTTGTCTATTATTTTTTTAAATTCTATTTCAATTTTTTCTGTTTTTCTTTTCTCGTTTTGTTCACTTTTTTGTTTTCAATTTTAAACTAACTTATTATTACTTGCACTGCAAAATTATAATCCGTAACAATTCAAATACGGCAAATGTACAATAAAAACGATGCCTTTATTCTTGTTTTCGAAGTGATTTTGTTTCTTCGGCTCCAAAGTATGCGCGATACAAATATAAACCAAGTGCTATGTGCAATGCAACTACCGCTGATACAGCTGCCCAAATGTTGCTGGGTATCGGATCGAACAGTGAATCGTAAATGAAATACTTTGATCCAAAGAACGTGGCAATCGGTGAAATAATGATGAGTAAACAGTAAAAAAGGATAACAAAGAACACTTCTTGTTGTTTCTTTGCCAAATTCTCTGCGTTATTGTGTTGTGATTCGAGACTGGTTTTATTGCGCTACAAGTGTGAACGAAAGAGATGAGACAGAACGAAACAAAAAATATTTCGTGTGGTTGATATTTTGTGCTGAATGAGCAAAAGAATAAATATAACTGTACCTTTCCCATAATGATTTTTTTTCTTCGTTGTTCAAACTTGATGAATTTATTCGGTTCGTTCTGTGAATGACTTTCGGATGTCAATTTCACGGTTGGCGGTCTATATACCAAATCACATGAATAAACAATCACATGAGAAGAATTGCTTTAAGGCCGGTTCACATACATGCATGCATTACAACAAACAACATTGAAGTGTCATTTAAAACGGTATGACATTTGAAATTAAAGGAATAATTTTTTTTTAACATATTTATTTTAATTTTTTTTTTGTGTTTCAAAAATAATTCATTTTAATTTTTCCGTAATTCTATTTTGGTAAAAATAGTAACGAATCGTGTGTTATTGTGAATCAGTTAGGTTGTGTTCAGTGTGTGACATTTCTCGTCACCCATACATAACCATACTCGTGAACGCATACTACGAAACGAATGAAAACCAACGAACTTGCTCACTGCATGAAACGTGCCGGCATTTGACATATTGACAAATCCAATGCGTTTTGAGTTGAATATATTGAGAGGAAAAAAATGGCAGACACAGAGGTTCGTCAATTTATTTTCAATATTTTTTGTGTATTTCACTTTTTTTTCGTTCGGATTGACTTGAATTAAGATTGAATTGCGTATGTTTTAATGTATATATGTGATTTTATTTTTCAGTTGGCAAAAGCATTGCGTGATCTTCCAAATCGGGTATTAAATGTGAATGTTGATGAACGTCCTGAACTCTTTCAAAATATAACCAATGTGTTAACAAATCCAGGTTAGTGTTTGAGCTATATTGATTTATTTTACTTTGCTCAATCACCGGTTCACCGATTGTTTCCAATCAATTTGATCAAAGTAAAATAATGAAAATAACATTTAAACGCATTTTGATGTGATTTTATGTCATAAATTTTGTACGAATTTCATATTTTGCAGGAATAAATGCAACTATTATACGTGGCATTTGTAAAGTGATTGGAACGACGTTAACCAAATACAAAGATCCAAAATCGCAGGCATTGGTTAAGGATTTGATTGTATCATTGGCAACACATCATTCGGATTTAACATTTGAACATTTCAACAATGTGCTAAAAACGATTGTGTCAAAAGATTTAGTTGGTGTATCGGCGCTAAAGTGTTCACAGGCGGCTGTCATTGCATTGGGATGGTCAATAACGCTCGGATCGAGCGTTGATCGTGGCACAGATGTTGGCAAAACAGAATTTAAGAAATTAATCGAACATCAAGCGGCATTGTATCAATTTGGTATATCGAGTGGCAATGAACGGATTTCAGATCGTGCAAATCAACTGATAACCGCTTTTTGGACACAACATAATGATATTGAACATGAGTATTTCCATCGATTGTTATCAGTTGAACCGGCCAGTAGTGTGGTTGTATTGTTGATGGCGATTGTTCGATATCGTTTGAATAAAAACGCATCGGATGACATTCTACATCAAAATAAAGACAAATTACTTGAATACTTCATAAAAGGCTTGGTCACCGTCAAAGTTAAACCAAATGTTGCACTGTTCACCACTTGTTCACAATTATTGCAAGCATTGAACGCTGATGAATTCAAAAAATCCATTCTTCCCGCATTGCAGCGTGCAATGCTACGCAGTCCAGAAGTGATTTTACAGGGTGTTGGCGCAATTATTCATGAGATTAATATCGATTGCAGTGACTTTGCTTTCGATTTAGGCAAAACACTCATTACAAATCTTTATTCGAAAGATGATTCGGCGCGCACTGAAGCTGTTGAATCGCTGAAAGAAATCGCAATTAAATGTCATGATACAAAAGCAATTGAAGCACTGGTCAAACAAGTGTTTGCTGTACTAAATGGATGCGATGGCAAAATCACCGTGGCTGAATATCGAATAAATATTTTGCAGGTGTGTATTTTTTTCGAAAAAAAAAAAACGAAAGAAAATTACCATTTAAATTAAGATGAGTTCTTTTAATATTAAAATCGATTAAAATTTAATTAAATTTTCAGGGTGCTGGTAATCTAAGCTACAATAACATTTCAAATGCCGATCTGTCGAATGTTCTCACACTCATTACCGACAATTTCATAAAAGTGTTGGAAACCGAAATCCATGAGAAAGTATTGTGTCATGCATTGGAAATGTTCAGTTTATGGGCCACTAACTATTCCGGTGAATTACCAAAGAAAATCACCGATATTTTCAAAAAAGGCATTGAATTAAAATCGGCAACACAATCGGTGCGTGTATCGTATTTACAATGGTTGCTTGCATGTTTGGAACAGGCCACATTTCCATCGGGTATCAATATGTCCGATGCTTTGGTTAAAACTGTTGAAAAAGCATCGCAAAATTCATCTCAAATTCCGTTGGTGTCGGAGGCAATTTGCTCGGCCTGTATTGTTTTAAAAACCGATAACGACACATCCAGCAAATTGAACAATTTTTGGAACATCGTTTTGGATATGTCAAAACAAGTGTTTGTATCGGAAAAATTCATAACATCTGCACCAGTCGATACGCTATGCTATGTGGCATTGATGAGCAAAATATTATTGTCGGAGCATACGAACAAATTGCGTGGATCACCGGATCCATTGTACAAAGCGTTGGTGTATGCAATCACCTCATCATCGAAGAAAGTACGTGACTATTCAAACCGATTGGTTAAAGATTTGATCAACAAAAGCGATGATTACGTTAATATCATACGAAATTTATTGCAACATTTTACACAAATTGCTCAAACATCAAAGGTGAGCGGTGAATCGGAGCCAATTGAAGAAGGTGTGATACCGGTTCAAGGTTACATCGATGCAATTTGGTTGCTTTGCTGTTCAAAAGAAGTTAGCATTGCCGACGGTCAGTCCATTTCATTGAACTGTTTAATTTGTTGTCATCATGGCGCTGCATACATTGCAAAACCAGATTTATGGGAAAATATTGTCACGAAATTGGGATTGGAACCAAAATCGTTGATTGCAATGAATGTGAATCGCATTAAATCGCTCGTTATCGAAACATACAAAGCAACATCAATCTTTGAGAATACCGTTGCATTGATATCGAAACTTTGTCCACAAGTTTTATTACCATTAATCATTGCACAAGTAACCGAACATTTAAGTAATCCCGATATGATAAATGTGAGCGATACAGAGTATTTCACCTATTTAACACCGGATGGTGAACTGTATGATAAAAGTGTCATACCGAATAGCGATGATATTTATCACGATTTAACAAGAAAACGCGAAAATAAGGTGTATTCATACAAAGAACAACTGGAAGAGCTTCAATTGCGTCGTGAACTGGAGGAGAAAAAACGTAAAGATGGAACATGGAAACCACCACAATTGACACCAAAACAAAAGGAGGCCATTAAAAATCAAACCGAAAAAGAAAATGCCATCAAACAACGTTTGCAAGCATTGAATGAAACGCTCACATCAATTGTGTCACTTATCAAGGGTGCATTGGCCGGAAATGGTCAACAGCTTCAATTATACTATGCTGAATTACTTCCGAAAGTGCTTCATGTGCTGAAATCACCGCTTGCAGCCGAATCATTTACAAAGCTATACTATGAACTACGAATGCCATGCATAACAAATGACCAATTAACTGGGCTAATGAACAAAATTGCAATAAATACGCTTCGTTTGCATGAGCCCCATTGTGATTTGAGCGAAGCATGGACGGCAAATAATTTGGACGAGGAAATTGTAACAACGCTACAATTGTTTGCTGAGAAAACCATTAACACGGAGGATGACACAAATTTATTGTTTGCATCAGTATTTTGTTATGCATTTGAATTCTTGAAAAAGGCTTTATTCCACAAGGCAATTTCCAAAAACGATGACTATCTATTGACAGCCATTCAATTGACGGATAAACATGTGCAAATACCAGGCGATACAGCCGATGGTGACATAACCGATTTTCGTCATCCCAAGTATTTGCCACGCTATGAATTGTTGAAAGTATTCCTCGAAATTGTGAGCATTCATCGTGGTCGTGTACAAAGTCAAGCAGCCACAGTCATTTTGGATGTGGCAAAGAGTAATTCGGGCGAAAAATTCTACGCAAATGGTGAACGTTGCGATGTTGAATGCCTATTGAATGCATTGCAAAGTAATTTGGATGTTGTGCGTGATATTGCATTGCGCTCGTTAACCATTATGGTTAAGATTTTAAGTGAATTCGAATCAGACTATGAATTTAATTTGTATGTAATTCGACGGTTGTGGATCGCAAAGCATGATGTATCCGAAGAAATAAAACAATTGGCATGCGTTCTATGGGAACAAGCTAAATTTGATGTGCCCATTGTTATGTGCGATGAACTTTTGAAAGATGTTATCCATTCGGAGTTGTGCATTCAAAAGGCTGCATCAATGGCCATTGTTTCGATTTTGAAAGAGGATCCATCGCTTGTTGAAAGCGTGCTCGAACAATTGTTGGAAATTTACAATGAAAAAACGAAAATGATTCCGGCACAATTGGATCAATTTGAACGAGAAATTGTTCCAGCCATCGATCAATGGGTAAGCGTTAAGACCGTAAAATTACTTAAACATTTATTTTCCATTTGCATTATTTGTATTTTTCTATATTCTGATTCATCCCTAGGTGCCAAGACGTGGTGTTGCAATTGCCATTTGTCAAATTGCATCGTTCTTTTCATTTGATTTGGTGGATCGGGTTATTCAATTTATGGTTTCAAAAGGTTTGGGCGATCGTGATGAAATCGTTCACAAAGAAATGCTCGCCGCCGCACTAAACATTGTTGATTTGCATGGTAAAGAGAGTATTGGAAAATTATTGCCGGTATTTGAACATTTCTTGGACAAAGCACCAAAATCAAGTCACTACGATAATATTCGACAGGCTGTTGTTATTTTAATGGGCTCATTGGCACGCCATTTGGACAAAGATGATGAACGAATTCAACCGATTGTTAAACGTTTGTTGGCCGCTCTATCAACACCATCGCAACAAGTACAAGAAGCCGTTGCCAATTGCTTGCCACATTTAATGCCATCCGTTAAAGATGATGCCAATGCCATGATCAAAAAATTACTTAACCAATTGGTTAAATCGGAAAAGTATGGTGAACGTCGTGGTGCTGCCTATGGCATTGCTGGCATTGTTAAAGGTTTGGGCATTCTATCGCTCAAACAATTGGACATTATGAACAAACTAACGCAGCACATTCAAGAAAAGAAGAACTATAAATCACGTGAAGGTGCATTGTTTGCATTTGAAATGCTTTGTACCACATTGGGACGATTATTTGAACCGTATATTGTGCATGTATTGCCACATTTATTACAATGTTTTGGTGATTCAAGTCAATATGTGCGGCAAGCCGCCGACGATACGGCCAAAGTTGTAATGGGAAAACTGTCGGCACATGGTGTTAAATTGGTTTTGCCATCATTGTTGAATGCATTGGATGAGGATTCATGGCGTACAAAAACCGCATCAGTTGAATTACTTGGCGCCATGGCATATTGTGCACCAAAACAATTGTCATCGTGTTTGCCAAGCATCGTTCCGAAATTAATCGAAGTTTTGGGTGATTCACATACAAAAGTGCAAGAGGCTGGCGGTGATGCATTGCGTGTTATTGGTTCAGTTATAAAAAATCCGGAAATTCAAGCCATTGTACCGGTTTTGCTGAAGGCGTTAGAAGATCCATCGAAAAATACATCAAAATGCTTGCACAGTTTGCTTGAAACGAAATTCGTGCATTTCATCGATGCACCATCGTTGGCTTTAATTATGCCAGTCGTTCAAAGAGCATTCATGGATCGTTCGTCTGAAACACGTAAAATGGCCGCCCAAATTATCGGAAATATGTATTCACTGACCGATCAAAAGGACTTAACTCCATACTTACCGAACATCATTCCGGGTCTCAAGACATCACTATTGGATCCTGTTCCTGAAGTTCGAGCTGTTTCATCACGTGCACTCGGTGCAATGGTAAGCTAGATTGAGCTCATTCGATCTTTTCTATTTTAAATTTCACATTTAAACAATTTGCTAACGTCAATTTTTCGATTTTTCTTTAGGTTCGTGGAATGGGTGAGTTGTCACTTAAAAATTACATTACTATTCAAATATGCATAATATCAAAAACTATTTGGAATGTAAGATAGTGGGGTTTGATCACACACACAGAGAAATAAAAAATTGAGATTTGGTAGTGATAGTAATGAAGAGATGGTAATTTTGTAATTTTTTTCTATTTTTGGTAATTCTGTCTCTTCATAGATCCAAATATCAAATCGCTGCCAAAACTTAATTTTAAGAAATCTGTTTTCAAAAGCAAATTCAATTATCCAATCAATTAAGTTCCATTTGGAATCCATTATATGTTAATTAATTTTTATTATTTCCATTTTTCTTTTCTGATCCACCCCCTAGGTGAATCGTCATTCGAAGACTTATTGCCATGGCTTATGCAAACACTTACATCCGAATCAAGTAGTGTGGATCGAAGTGGTGCTGCACAAGGTTTATCAGAAGTCGTTGGTGGGTTGGGCGTTGAAAAATTGCACAAATTAATGCCCGAAATTATTGCAACCGCTGAACGAACAGACATTGCGCCACATGTTAAAGACGGTTATATAATGATGTTTATTTATATGCCGGGTGCATTCCCCAACGAATTTACCCCATACATTGGTCTGATTATAAATCCAATTTTAAAGGCGCTTGCCGATGAAAATGAATATGTTCGTGACACCGCACTAAAGGCCGGCCAACGTATTGTTAATTTGTATGCTGAATCGGCGGTAACATTGTTGTTGCCCGAATTGGAAAAAGGTCTTTTCGACGATAATTGGCGTATTCGATTCAGTTCAGTTCAACTATTGGGTGATTTATTGTATCGTATTTCGGGTGTGTCTGGTAAAATGACAACTGAAACGGCCAGCGAAGATGATAATTTTGGTACAGAACAATCACATTCCGCCATTATTCGATTCCTTGGTGCAGAGCGTCGTAATCGTGTTTTGGCCGGTTTGTATATGGGCCGCAGTGATGTCGCTCTAATGGTACGACAAGCTGCTTTGCATGTATGGAAAGTTGTTGTTACCAATACACCACGAACGCTACGTGAAATTTTACCAACACTATTCAGTTTGTTGCTTGGTTGTTTGGCAAGTACAAGTCACGATAAACGACAAGTGGCCGGACGAACATTGGGCGATTTGGTGCGCAAGCTTGGTGAACGTGTTTTACCCGAAATTATACCAATTTTGGAACGTGGATTGAATTCAAATCAAGCCGATCAACGTCAAGGTGTTTGCATTGGTTTATCGGAAATTATGGAATCAACATCAAAGGAAATGGTATTGACATTCGTCAATAGCCTTGTGCCAACGGTACGAAAAGCACTGAGTGATCCATTGCCCGAAGTGCGAAAAGCAGCTGCCAAAACATTTGAATCATTACATAATACGGTTGGTTCACGTGCACTAGACGATATTTTACCATCTATGTTGAATGGTCTATCAGATCCAGATCCAGAAATAGCCGAAAATACATTGGATGGATTGCGTCAAGTGATGGCCATTAAATCAAGAGTTGTTCTACCATATTTGGTGCCACAGTTAACGGCTCAACCGGTCAACACCAAAGCATTGTCCATTTTAGCCGCTGTTGCCGGTGAATCGTTAACAAAATATTTGCAAAAAATTTTACCAGCTCTATTGCAAGCATTATCCGAAGCACAAAATACACCGACCGAAGCACAAGAAACGGAATACTGTCAGGCTGTCGTATTATCAGTTAGCGATGAAGTTGGAATTCGTACCATCATGGATATCTTAATGGAATCAACAAAATCAAGTGACACAAACACTCGTCGTTCGGCTGCTGTTTTATTGTGTGCATTTTGTACACATTCACCCGGTGACTATTCACAATACGTACCACAATTGTTGCGTGGTTTATTGCGACTTTTGGCCGATATCGATAAAGATGTATTGATACGATCATGGGAGGCATTGAGCGCTGTTATCAAAACACTTGATTCAGCCCAACAAATTGCTCATGTATCGGATGTTCGTCAGGCCGTTCGTTATGCTGCCAGTGATTTGAAAGTTGACGAAGAATTGCCTGGTTTTTGTTTGCCAAAAGGCATTACACCATTGCTACCGGTATTCCGTGAGGCAATTTTAAATGGTTTGCCCGAAGAAAAAGAAAATGCGGCCATTGGTTTGGGTGAAGTAATTTCATTGACAAGCTCGGCAGCATTACAACCATCCGTTGTTCATATCACCGGTCCATTGATTCGTATTTTGGGCGATCGTTTCAATGCAAATGTAAAGGCAGCCGTTCTGGAAACGCTTGCCATTCTTTTGCACAAAGTCGGAATATTGCTAAAACAATTCCTTCCACAATTGCAAACAACATTCTTGAAATCGTTACACGACCAAAATCGCATTGTACGCATCAAATCAGGCGTTGCGCTAGCTGAATTAGTTCGAATTCATACACGAGCTGATCCACTATTTATGGAAATGCATAACGGTATCAAAGCCAACGATGATTCGGGCGAAAGAGAAACAATGTTACAAGCATTACGTGGACTTATCACACCAGCCGGTGATAAAATGTCTGAACCACTGAAAAAACAAGTATACACAACACTGACCTCAATGTTAAATCATCCAGAAGATGTAACACGAAGTGCGGTCGGCGGATGCTTAGGAGCATTATGCAAATGGTTGTCAAAAGAACAATTGAACGATGCACTTAATAGTTACCTCTTGAAAGACGATGCGAATGAAGATTGGACAGTGCGTCATGGTAAATCGGCCGCATTATTTGTTGCACTCAAACAAAGCCCATCGATAATTTATACAGCCGAATATGAAGTGAAAATTTGTAAAATTATCACCGCCAATATAACATCGGATAAAATTCAAATTGCAAGCAACGCCATTCGGGCGGCTAGCTATTTGTTTGAATATTGTATGAATGAAGACATTGCTGTACCACAACAAGTGCTCACACCATTTGTACGATCGATAAATCATAGCAGCAATGAAGTGAAACAATTGCTTGTCAAATATTGCAGTTATTTGGCGAAAGTGGTTGCCGCAGAGAAAACAACACAAGAATTTCTACGGCCCGTCATTCCAATGCTGGTGAATGGAACAAAAGAGAAAAATGGCTATGTTAAATCAAATTCGGAAATTGCATTAATTGCCATTCTGCGATTGCGTAATGGTGACGATATACATCAAAAATGCTTACAAATGTTGGATGCAGGCGCAAGAGATTCACTCAATGAAGTGGTTAGCAAAGTATTGCGCAAAGTGGCTACACAACCAATTGGAAAAGAAGAAGAATTGGACGATACACTTCTATCTTGATCTTGACCATGCGCCAAATATCAACATATGCAACAAATAACCAGATTTAAAACAGAAATAATAAAAACACATTCGTACATTGAACTCAACAACAGTAAACTGTTTCATTTTCAAAAATCGATAAAACTGTACTATTTGCATTGCGGCCACAGCGATAACAATTTTCCAAACAAAATTGCTGTGTTAGTCAAGTTTTTATTTTTATTGAATAAATGTCATAATTCAAATAATTTAACAAAGAAAAAAGAAATGTTGTTGTTTTTTTTTTTTTTGAAGCAAAAATATTTACCTTCCGCCAAAACAGATGCATCACGTTCAACTTATAAAGGATTCAAACTCGCTTTTGTCATGTGATTTTTCAAATTGTTTTTTTTTTATTATTTATCCAACATACCATCTAAATTCACAATTCAACAATGTTCAGTTTATTTTTATTTAATTCATTTTTGTTTCTTTGTTTATTAAATTTTCAACTACCAAATAAATATTTCCATTTGTTTGCAATCTATATTTGCGAAACGAATTCGTGAACTCTAAAAATTGATTTCCATTCTAAAGTAATGTTTTCCTGTTGGTTGGAATTACTTTTTTTGTTTCTTGCTTAATTTTCGGGATGATGTTCATTTTGTTTTTAGTCAGATGGTGTATACGTATTTTTTTTCTTTTAAATTGGTACATACTAGGTAATAATTTTTAATTTGTGTGTCTTAGGTTTCACCATTTTTGTTTTATATTCATCCTACAGCAACTAATTTATATATACGATAAAATAACGTAGGCTCTATTCATTTTTGTTCATTTGATGAACATTTGGCTAATCTTACTAAAAGGTATTTACAAATTCAAATGTTAACTATTCATTTCAAATTGATGGCGATGTATGTGTTCGTGTGTGTGTATGTGTGAATCTGTGGAAAAATGCAAATGTATTGCAGGTTGAGCCGAATTGGTTTTCATGTAGTTTTTTTCTGCGTCAAATTGTTATGATTTAGTTGCTGTTTACATAAGCTATATAGCCCCTAAACGATGTTTCAATTGGCTCAAAAACTTTTAAGTCGTTTGCTTTCCCATATTTTTTTTCTGATTTGTGACTACTAATAACTTGAATTTTTTTTTGTTCATTTTTTTCTAATTTGTTTTTGTTGCTTCGCTAACTTTACATGTATATTTAAATATAAATAATACAAAAAGAATATGACATCCCAAACTTCTTAATGTCTTAAAAACTCGTCTGTGGATTTTACAAATTACAAAGAGAAAAAAACTCGATTCGTTATAAATTTCAACAATAATAATTTCGTTATCAGATATTTAACTTTGTTGAGCAAATATAACAGTTCAAGTGTGTGCGATATATGGAAAATATGTTTGGTATACATCCCATAAAATTGAAAAAAATGCAATTTAATCAAAGGAAAAACAGCACACACAACATTTGTTGCTTGAATACGAAATAAAAATTGTTCCATTATCGAATGAATTTTGTTCAAATTCCTAATTCACATGGAAACGGTACAATAAATTGTGTAGTTCATTTGTAGTTGTTGTTGTTTTTTACAAATATCATTACAATTTCCCTATCAAATAAGTTTGGTTTGGTTTAATAAAATTAAAGGTATTATGTAGTTGGTAATATATTTTAGTTTTGCATATTTACTTTTTCAGTTAATAAAATGTCATAAGTCGTTGGTTTTCCATGTTTTCCAGTTAGCGCCGTATATGCTATGCACGCGGCATGACCGAACTCTCACTCTCTCTTCTCCGCTCTTTCGGGATGCAAACATTGGATAGGGACCGAGAATGAGCGAACGCGTTATGCCAACTGTGCGGTTGAATTTACACATTATAATTATATGGTCTCTTCTCTGTTTAATAATGGTAGTATATTATTAAAGTGTTAACAAATATTTGAGCTAATTGCATTAATTTCTAAACTCTATGACACTTTCTGTTTAAACATAGTTCATAATGATCGGTAAGTGGTTTCGAATCGTTTTCGAATAATTTTTCTAATTTTAAATTGTATGCTTTTTTATCATTCCCATTCAATTGCGTTTTGATTATTATTTTTGTTGTTCATTTTTTGTTTGCTCTTTCGCAAGTGTGTGTGTGTGTTTTCATATAGAACCTGCGTTAGACCATTCGAAAACCATTATATATCATGAATCATCTTAGTTTCGCATTCAATAATGCTAAAAGCGTAATCATAAATTCACATTTTTTTTTTGCTCTCTTGCATTTTAGTTTGTTTTATATAGTCTGAACTTATATTCCACTCTTTGTCTCTATGTACAGCAAAATATTTCCTCCAATTCAATTGATTAATTTACTTTTTATATATTTTTTTTTTATGTTATTGATTCGTAAATGTTAACTTGTTCTTAAAATATCATTCGATATATTTAATTTGTGTATGTGTTTGTTTTTCTGTTCTCATTTAATATTCTCTGTCTTTTCCTTAGGTTTTTTTTTTTGGTATCCGATTTTCGGAACAAAAAAAAATCATCTATTTAGCTAGTTTAATTTTAGCTAATTGGTTCTTGACAATGCTACATCGTCTACGTCGCTTTGAATTTTAAGGTTCGAATTAAAAGTACCATCTATTGTTCGTATTCGCTGTTGCGAGATCTGATAAAAACGATTATTTTCAAGCACATAGAAATTTGGTGAGGAACTTTAACTGGCAACTGCTTTACATACATACATACACATAACATATACATGACAATATAGATATATATTTTATATAAAAAAGAAATTTGGAAGGTTCTTATTCAGCATAAATATCATGGTGCCCTCAATTGACTGACACTGAATCAGTTGATTTTCATTCGCATTTATTCAATTGAATAATTCGGAGAATGTCGATAGAAGACAGGTTTCGAACATCTATCAAATATTTGATTGTTACTGTATAGAGCCTGTTCGTTACTCTCTATTGCTCATTATAATGAAAATCAGTAGTGTGACACAAAATCAAATACACCATATTTTATGTTCGAATCATGGACAATTCTCCAATGGAAACTGAAATCGTGAAAAAAGTGATTTGGAACGAGAAAAAAACGGGCAACAAATAATCTTGAGAGAGAAAGAGACAGAAAAAAAATTAATGTGTTGCGATGCGCTGCATTTGGAATCACATTGATTTTAATCGAAACACGGAAATTACAAATATTTCGAAATGTAACTGAATATCGTGTATAAATTACCGATACATCCGAAACACTTTGTTGAAAACGGAAAGAAAAATAGAACTAAATTACTCAACACAAATGATTAATGATTTCTGTTGAAAAATGGACAATGATTTAATGTCTTGTCGTTGGTTGTCAGCACTTTCTTTGTTTCATTTTGGCTGCATTCAATTCTATCACGAAATCACATAATTCCAAGAGTAACGAATTAGTGAGTACGCTTTTTCTTTTTTGTTTCCTCCCTCTCTCGTGAATTTGCTTTTAATTTTTTTTTACCAATTTGATTGGTTTGTATTTTAATTAAGATTCTTAATTTTTTTTCTCCTTTATTTCGTGTTTAGAATTATAACGCTTAGTTTGCTAAAAGTTTGGAATTTAATTTACAAATTGAGATAATAATTGTGTGGTTTGTGCCGGTTCATTTTCTATTTGCCCTCGATATTGACTGCATCGGCTCATTTAATCAAATTCACAATGCAATTTCAATTTATATTTTTTTCTCTATGTTCGGTCAAAGATTTCTATGCTCTCATTTTATATTCCCGGTTAAATTTCCGTTGATTTTTTTCTTTGGAAAATCCAAGGGAGCTTCATATTCACGTTCAAGTGAAATTGCATTGAATTTGCAATAACAAATTTTGTAGACTTCCCATCACTCTGTTCTTTTCTTTTCACTCACTTTCTTCATCGGTCCTTGTTTGGTTCTTCAACCGCTTTGTTGTGTTATTGTGTTGCGTAATGTGGAAAATGTTGAGAAAATGGTATCATCACTTTACAGTAAATGAATTCTCTAGACTGCGGACAGTATCATGAAATCAACAAAATTAAATGGAAACTATGCATATTAAAATTATGCTGTCATGATGATGTCTTCTTTGCAAAATCTACTTTAATAATGTTGGGCCGGGTTTTTTTTTTTCAAACCAAGCGTTCAGGATCGCATACATTTATGCGATAGATTGAATGATGCATGCATCATTTCATGCGCATCAAATAACGCTAACGCTGTCGTTGTACGTGCGGATCTAGTAGCACACGACGGTCTTGCTTTATTGAACATTCACATCATTACGTGTATCATATAAGCACGTGGTGCGCTGTCAGGTCCGTACTCATAGCGACATCGTTAGCGTTGTGTTTGCGTTATTTGATTCGCATCAAACGATGCATGCATCATTCAATGTATCGCATAAATGTATGCGATCCTGAACGCTTGTTTCAAACCATCTCATTCTAACATAGTCTATTTCTTTCATTCTTGCTTTGTGTATCAAACACTTTGTGTCTCATTTCACTTGCTCTTACAGCAATTTATTTTGGCGAACTTTGTTGTTGCTGTGCCACCAAATGTGGAATGTAAGAAAAAGAAGAAAACAAAAATAACGCTCATAATGCGAAGTACAGAAGTGAAGTAAAAATTTGGTGCATTTTTTTGCAATTTTTCTCTCGGCGGAGCATCTCAACACACAAAAAAAAATTGTCGTAAACACAAAAAAAAAAATGATTCGTTGTAGAAATTGTATGAAGCGTATGCGGGTACTTGTTCAGATTTTTTTTTTCGTTTTTTTTTTTAATGCTTAAGGTGGCATAACGCAAAGCATGCTCAAAATTAATTCTCTGTATTTCCCGAATCCCTCACATAAACATTTTTTTTATGAATCATGCAGTTGACATTATGGAAAATAACGATGCTTCATGACCCGATTCCGATCGAAATTTTGTGCAAACTGCGCTTTCTAGTTAATCAATTTGATCCTCAATAAACATTTTACAAATAGTGCGGGCTTCCAACTTCAAACAAAATATGAAGAACACTCAAACTGGACTCTTCATAAAGAACGAGAAAAAAAAACAAAGCAAAACATGAGATAAAAAAAAATCTGCCGCATAAGACAATCGAAATATGCAACAATAATAATTAAACGAAATACTTTGTAAATATGAAGAGAAAAAAAAGCTTTTGGCCGCTTGAACATAATTTTAAGAAGAATTTCCAACACACAAACTGTTTAAAAAGTCGAAGGTAGTTTCTGCCTGACTACCTGAAACCGCTTACCAATAATATTGCAACGCAAATAACAACTTCGTTTCATTCTTACTTTTCTCTTTTGATCTGTATTCGAGTCTTGGATGTGCTCATCTTTTGCACACATATTATCGTCGCGAAAAGTTTTTGGGATGGCCAAGGGAAAAGTTTTCAAAAGAATAAACAACAAAATGGAAAGAAAGATGAAACGAATAAAAGAGAGCGGCAAAATGAAGAGCAAATGAGAACGAAATAACGAAAAAGACGTAAAAACTAAAAAAAAAAAATAACGAGTCAAGTATAAAGTTTTATTGTGTGAAAGCACAATTTGGTTAGAAAAGAAAAATAGCTGCTTTGCCAATATGGGGGGAATTGTCTATCAAAAAACGATGAACGAAGAGATGAAAGAAGAAGAAGAGGAAAAAACGATGTATTCGACCCCAAAATTTAAAAAAATCAGCTCAAAAATCGTATAAAAGTAACGACAGTCCAATATGTTTGCCAGCGGGTCCGTGTGGTTATTAGAGCTATCTACTTCCATTTCTAATACCAACGACGAACCACATGACCGTCTCGGCAGAACGTTCAGTTACCACAAGCTGGTTGTTATTAATTTTATGCAATCATAGCAATTATAAATTTCTGCCCTCTCAATAATTAAAAATCTAATTCCAGCATGATTCTATTGCCGATGATTTCTCGTTTTTTGGCTTCAACATTTTTAATGATGCAAATACTGTTTAGTGCACATACAGTGCCGTCAGAAAGTTTGAGACCAAGCAAAAAAACGTCATACAATTTCATACAAATTGACGATGTTTTGGAGCAATATTTAATATATTTCAGAAAGAGCTAGGACTCATAATTTTTTGCACACTTATTGTTCTATTTACGGAGAGTAAACTAGTGAAGTTTTACCAAAAAATATCTACGCGTTTAAAAAATATCAAAATAAATGTGTCATTTTTCACACTTGAAAGTGCAAACCTCGGATATTTTTTAAACGCGTAGATATTTTTTGGTAAAACTTCACTGGTTTACTCTAAAAATTATGGGTCTAGCTATTTCCGAAATATATTAAATATTGCTCCAAAAAATCGTCAATTTTTATGAAATTGTATGAAAAAAATGAGCTTGGTCTCAAATTTTCTGACGGCACTGTACATATTATGCAAGTTGAAAGACTACGAGTATTTATGAGTGTAAAACGCGTTTTTAAGTTGAAGTGCGGAAGAACCGTTGAGGAAGTGTGAGAAAAAAATACACGTATATCGTAACCATGTTCCGCATACAAACACTGTCAACCTTGTGTCGCAACTCATTCACTTCAAAATCAAAAAGCATTACACTCATACGCGTTTTTGATGGTATATGTTCGTATGCCAATCATTTGCGCCACTTTCTGCTTTTCTCTCATTTCTCCCACCTCTCTTGCTCTATCTATCTTTCATTCGTATTATGGAAATGTGTTCCGAGGCAAATACTTTACTGACTCAGTGCAGCGAGAATGAATGTATTTTCTTATTATTTTATTACATTTTTTGATCATACACAAGTGTTGCAGACACATGACCGACACCAATATTGAAGTATTAAATTTAAATTCTGTCTCTCTACATATTTTTCCGTGTCCCAGATAATTATACTTGAACTATTCTCGAAGTTGAATTTAAAAGAGATGAAACTAACGAAAAAAAAATATTTCGATTATTGCACTTTTACCATCCATCTAGCACCATTCACTTCATCCACACACTAGTATATGTCTGCATCAATCTATGTATTTGATGCGCTTCTTTGTTGTCATTTTCTGTAGTCGTTTATCGTTTGTTATAGGGCCGAATTATCGCAAAAAGCTTCAATTTTTGCAACTTATATAACATGGGTAATGTCGTGCAGTTGTACAGTCGCGACAAACTAAATTTTGCGCGATATTGCAACATTCATTCAAACATTTCGATGACTTTTTGAACAACGGGCGTAATTTTGTTGCGCTTAGTAGTGAAATTTATGTGTCGTTTGAAGTTGTTGGTGTTTTTTTTTTAAACTTTTTAAGTTGTATTGTTTTTGTTGATTGCAGTATATGGTGCTTTTCAATTCGAATATTATGTACAAAAATATCAAAATTCACCATCGATTCGCGCTTTAAAAGACCAGAGACATGGTTCATTCATGCTTAAAACAAGAATATTCTCTTCATTGCAGCATGAACCGAAAAAAGATGTTGGAAAAACTATTCAAATACTTGAAATTTCCTGTCTACACTTAAAGAATAGGAAGTTGTCAAGAAGAGCCCCATACATACTTGTATTATATGTAATGTTATTTACGTACCAGATTTGTACGACCAAATTTAAGTGACAGTGCCGCATTGCTAACCATTGGCGATTTTTATCCATTTTATCAAAGTCGGTTCAACGATCGAATACAGCCAGGCTTCATAACGAACGAAGATATATGTATGAGCGCGTTCGATGGTGACTCGTCATGATTTTTTTCATTGTTTTTTTTTTTGTTGTTTATTTGCTTTTCATTGGAAAATGGTAAATATATTCGTAGTAGTTGATTTCATTGCTGCTGATCGTTCTCATCAGTCAATATACTCAAATTGAGGCACTCATTTCGAACCATGATTAACAAAAATATGGCTGCAATTCTATCTCACCTTATCTTTTTCTCATTCTTCTCTATGTATGTTTATCTCTTCTTTTCCCTTGGTAATTTTGGTATTTTGTACACATCATACTGTAAACATTTTTATTCAATACTGTCTAAACCTAACGTCCAAAGCGTACACAACGAAGACGGCCATTCTATCTTAAGTTATCATTGGCCATGAACAGCGGAACATTTTGTCTTGCAATAAAACTGCAATATCTTCAAATAAATTTTTTTTATATATATTTTTTATCATTTTATTGTTCGTTTGAAGTAAAATTCGCGCGTCGCAACTATCTAGTTTTGCTCTTTTGCACAGAGCCATTGCCAAAAATCTTAAAATTGGAATGTAAGAATGAAGGACCGTTACGCGATGTGTACGCTTCAGTTAAAATAAACGGTGATAAATATACGATTTTCAACAGTATGAAATCATCGTTATTGTTCGGGACATCTACCAACTGGCGTTTGGCCGGGCGCATATTCCGAACATTTTCGATCAATTGGTATTCTATCATCGTATAGTGTGGGCGCTTGCAGTATTATTCCAGCTGTACCCGCTAAAACCGCCAACGTGAATATCCATAAAAAGAGCCGATCTAAAACCATTGCTACGTATTTCCAATCTTCTTTCACCTAAAATAGATAAATGCGATTGCAAAAGAAAATGAAAGAGATAAATGTGGGATGAGAGCGAATGATGAGAATAAAATGAGATCGAAAAAAAAAAACGACGACGACGACAACAACAACAACAACGAATGAATAATCTTTGCGCTGGATTCAATGTGGCTGATGTCGCTTTTTCTGCTTAATGTTCATTCTCCGTCTCGCGAACGTTCTACGAGTCAAGCGTGCAATTTCATTTCTCCGAAGCGTAATTTTTGAGATACTCATAACCAATTGAAACAAGAGAGCTAAAAAAAATTGGTATCAGTGGAGAATGTTTTTTTTTTAATCAAAATAAAGATAGTTTTCTCACCGCTCCCATCATTTTCTCAAATTCTGTATTCTTATCACTGGAAGCTCACATTGTATACGTACATATACATCACCTGTACACCGGCGTTTGAGTGTTACACAAGTAGTAAAAGATATGCGGTGAGTGTAAGCAATGCTTTGGATTATGGTTTATTTTTTTGTTGAAGGCATTGCTTTGCATTCATAATACTGTAAATTCGATGGTTGCGATTTTGAAGAGGTGGTAAACCCTGAGTCGTATGAAAAAGTTTGCTTCCAAAGTATAACTAGTCTTACAAATAATAACAATAATAAAAGCAAAAAAAAACCGCCGTCGAAAAAGTAGCGTGTACGAGAGTGGGAGCGAAAGTGTTCGCGTGAAAATCGTTGTAAAAACGAAAACGAAATGACGCAACACATCGCTGAATAGCAACTACTTGGGCACCAGTTCGGAACTTTAGTAGCTAAAAAGCAATTCCACCTTTTTGCGCTTTATATATTGTTTTCAAAGAAAATCGGAAACTTTGTTGCTCAACAACATGAACACTGACACTCTTGGTCAACGCTTGCGGTGGACACTTTACCGTTGTTTGCCATTTACTTTTTACTTGTAAAAAAACAGTCAAAAATGTTGAATATTAAAGAAAAACCAGGAGAAGACTCTTGACGAAAGTGCTCCATCAAAATAATATTTTTTGTTCTGGTTGTTGTTGTTGTTGTTATGTACAGCAATAAACGAAGCTTGATTTTAATATTTAATGCGCTTACCTTTGTTGAATCCTCCAGCAATTTTGTATGTTCAGCAATAAATCGTACACAGAAGCAGCTGCGATGTATTTCTGGTGGGCATTTTGAGTGTGAAAAGGCTGGATTATTAATAATTGGACTTTTAATGCCGCCAGAGGCATTATCAATATCCGGCATATTTGATAAATCGTCTGACTCCGACTGTGGCATTGGCATAGAACCGTGAATTTGACAACTTCCAAACGGTCCAGATCGGCTTAAGCTGCTTATACATTAGTTTGTTCAAATGTTATTATTCGATTCAAACAATATGTGCCATTTCACGAAAACCGCATGAACACACAATGGTTAACACCACAACATTATCACCATTAAATTACGATTTTTGTTCAAATTATAGAATACGAGTTATTGAAGAAGGGTAAAAGAGAGAGAAAATAATTAATTTGTGATTAGAATTTTGCCAAACAATAGCGCAGCAATTATAAACATTAACGCAGCACTTTTTATTTCATTCAACTGCGCATTTCTTATGAAACATGCAATAGTAAACACTATATATATTTGAAATAAGAGGCCAAAGAGAAAAGAGCAATGAAACGAATTGAGAAAAATAAAGTTACCTTGTTGGTGTTAAATCATCCTTTGAATGTACCCGACTGAATTGTGAGCTTTGTTCCAAATGCGTTGTTGAATAATATGGATAAAAGCACACATGCGAATCGCCAAGCAATTTTCGACTGCAAATACGAATATATTTATGTGTATATAATATATAAATTCAATTCTAATGGATTACCAAAAAGTGCACAATACAAGATATGAAAGGATTAAAGAGGATGAACACAATTGAAAATTCCATAAATAAAATCGAAATGCAGACAAGACACATAATACAATTTTATTTTATTTTTTATATTAAAAAAAAAGAAAAAAGTTCAATGAAAAAATACACAGCGAGAGATAGAGAGAGAGAGAGTGGTGAATAATAATAACAAATAACCAAAAAGAATAATACATAAAAAGTGAGATAGAAAAGGTTGAATTGAACTTGTCAAGAACAAGAGTTAAAAGAACGAGAGAGAGAGAGAGCGCATGAGATATCTGAATGAATGTAATCAATTAAAATCAATTATTTACCTGGTTTCGAAATTGTACTGCGGTCTTTTGATAAACAACAATTTCGGTAAAAAGTTTATGAACACTTTTTTCACCCATGGCGCCATTCGATGCGTTTGCGGCGATCGAAAATGTACATTTAATCTACAAGCAAAAATAAACGATTTATTTATTTATTTATTTTAGTTGAAAAAAGCAAAATCTCAAAATAACATAGTAAGATATATATACTTACACAACGACTGTGACACAAATGCTGCAGCATCATAAATACATCCGATTGAATTTGGTCGACGACCAACCGAGCATCGTATACCATTAAAAAACATCATTCGGCAAATGAAATGAGCAAATTTAAAAGGAAAAAAGAGAACGACATAGAGAGAAGAAGAGAAAAAGAGAAAAAAATGGATACAAACATAAATAAACACACTAAAAATGATCCATTTGAAAATTTGCACTCAAATACAGATGTGATTTTCGTTTTGTTTCATGCATAAAATGTTTTTTTGAGTCTCATTCTTTATTTTTGGTTTTGCTTTCTACGGCACGAATGATACCAAAAATAAAAAAAAATAACAGACGTTGTTGTGATTGTTTGCATTGCGAACATATTTAAGTGATGGGACTTTGTGTGGCCCACTGACGAAAATAACGACAACGAAAAATGTTCTGTTAAATAAATACCAAAACAATACAGTTGAATTTAGTTCATTTATCATCAAGAATTATCTTATGGGACTGTGAAAAAAAGTATTTGTTTCTTCGGGCTGTCACTTTTTGTTTTTAGTCGTTTTTTGTTTGCACTCGCTCGATGTGCCTTCTAATCTGACAATCGCTTCTTTTTTTCGTTCAGGCTCAGATGATATGACAATAGCAATTCATTTATTTCGTCTTTCGACGCATCGAGAATCGATATGAGCGCGCAAAGCATTAAATAAAGTTGGATTATTAAGTTTGAAGTGTTAACGGGAATGACAGCTGAAGAGATGGCAATACGAATAAAAAAAAACAAGAAGACGACAAACAAACAAAAATAAACGCGCTGAAAAGATATGAGATAGATGTGGCCGCATAAGAAAATGATTGAACTTACGAACCCTTGTGAAAATAAAAGAACCAGTCAGGTTACAAATACATAAAGTTTACGCTACTCAAATTACTCGGCCAAATCGGCTTTGTTATCGCACCGATACTGAGCATCAAAAATGACAAACTATTTAAAAAAAAAAAACTACTAATAACCATAATCATAATGAATTGAATAGAGCTTTTGTGGGAAACATAAGCGACTAAGAAGAACAACTTCGACTAGTTATACCATTTTGTGGCACTTACTTCTTACTTTAACTGAAATCACAATTTTTGTATTGGATAATCAATTTCGTTGCGAAACAATTGAAAACATTGTCACGAGGGACGCGATTCGTATGATATTGTGGAAATGTGTCCCCGTTGAATTGAATTACACTGTGAACGCTGTGAATCAACGTAGGCGATCATAAATATATCGACTGCAATTCACATTATGGAATCGATGCAGACAACACAGTCTCACATGGTTGGATGAAACAGTGAGTTGTCGAATGAACAAAATGTCGCTATCTCTCATTTGTTTTTCATTCGCACAGTTTCAATACACTTTTCCTTTTTAGATTTTGATTTTTGTTTCGCCCATAGTTTTCTTCATCTTTTTGCTCTTACGTATTCTTTTCTATTTCGATATTGGGTTATCTGTGTATTTCAACAATCCCAATATGGTTTCAGTAATAACAATCGTACGTGAACGTATTGGAAATTATATGCTTCTTTTTTCGTGTTCACACTGTTTCGAGTGGATACTTGTGTGTTTGTGTTGATGTATATGAATGTGGTTTACTTGTATGTAGTGCTGATTGCGAGTTTCAGATAAAACATTTTTTTTTCTTCGGTTGTGATGGTTTTTACCATTGTTTTGCTAGCTATAACGAAACGTGCTCAATGAATATACAGATATCTTCGAAGATGCCAGCAAATAGTATTTTATAGCAGAATGGATAAATTGTTGCAACGCTTGGCTGATTACACATTCTATTTAATTCACGAATCGCCGAAAATTGCTGGATATTTTGCGTAAATGTTTTGTCGGATAAGAGACGAACTGGAATGAAATTTGAACTGAAAGCTCAAAATAAGCGCAAACGAACCAAAAATGAATGCAGAACATTGAACATTTCGCTTTGCCAACTAAAAATTAATTTGAGCGCTGCTTTAATAGCAAAGTTAATAGATATTTGTTCCACTTGGCTAAGTAAATAATGTTGTTGTTGTTTTTTTCGTTTGCTTTTTAGATGTTAGCATACATTCAAGATTCTGAAGATTCAAATAAATGAATTAGAGCAGTTATTTTCTCGATTTATAGCATTCAACGCACGCGCAAGTATAGTACATACCACCGGTGTTGCTGAGTGTGTTTGTGTGTTGAATTTGATTGTTATAATGTTGATGAGATGCGTTCTCGCACGTGCAATGTCAAAATGACATGCTTTGGTCGGTTAGCATAAATGTGAAAAGTAGAATGCTTAATTTTCTATTCAAACAGCTCGAAATGTGTTTTCTAATCAGAATTCACAAACACATTTCCATGATAAAAATTTGCGATGATTTTCCGTTTCATCACGACGATATGATTATTTTTTTTTACTGTTCGCATCGCACATAATATGTGTAATTTATTATGATGGGCAAAAGTGCGAGCAATGAAAACGATAACAACAACAACATTAACAACAAGATGAAAATGGCAAACCGAAAATGAAGCAAAGCAACAATTGTACGGCCAAACATTACAAACGACAGAAAGCGAGAATGAATGAAACCATATAGGACGAGCTAATATTACCACACAATTTGTGTAGTTTTGCTCTCTTGTTTTTCGATTTTCTTTGTGTTCATCTTCGCCGGCGTATCTGTTATTTCTTTAAGTTTTCCACGTAATTTCTTTTCCGTCTTTAGTCATACTGTTCATTGGCTTTTGTTTTGCTCACCAGAGCCATTTAGTCGTAATTTTTTTTAGATGATTCGTAAATGCAAACCACGTTCGATGGATTCACCCCATTGAGAAAAGTTTCATATTTGCCTTTCGTGACGTTTACTTAAAAATTTCTTTTCGCTTTCGTTGTTTCATTGTAACAATTTAGTGCATGCCACACTCACATTATTTTATATGTTCGCTTTCATTCGACCGCTATAATATTTTGTATTCAACCGAACACATACTGCCTGGCAAAATACCAAAACATATTAAACCACAATAAAAAAAAACTATTTATAGTTAACACATAAATATATAGAGTGAATGTCTTCCATCAACTACAAAAGAGAAGAAAATGATGATGAAGAACAAAATATTAATGAGCATAAAATTGAACAGACGAACGGACGAGACGTGTGCGTGTGGTTTTTTTTGTTCTGTGTTTACGGTTCAAATTTCCAATTGAACTTTTATCAGATTACATTTGAAATATCAAAATCTGATTACATTCGATGGATACGCTTTAACGACATTTCGATGTATTTCAAATGAAATCTGATTATTTTCCAACGGAAGCCGATTTCAGAACGATGGTCGTCGCAAACGGGAATAATTGCAACCGATTTATTGTGTATTCATACATGTCAATGCACAATAATGTTGTCAGGACACGCGAGAACGTCAACACGTATGCAATGAAAACGGCGTTTTTGGACGACGACAAAAACAGAAACAGTTCGGAGAGTGGAAATAAACGATTCAAAGCGAAAAAAAACAAACATTGAATGTCATTTCTGATGGAATTGTCCAAACACAAAATTGCACACGTTGCTATCAAGGTAAAAGCTTCAAAGGAATTATTTTAATCCTTTTAGCGAACGATGATTCTTCATTTGCTTTTAACTTTTATTTTGATCATATAACAACCTGTGGATATTTGAATTTTCCACTCAAAGCCTGTTTCCATCTTAAAACATCATCAAAAAATAAATCACATTTCGCGGCAAGCACGGCAAGTACTTTTGAAATATGATTGAATAGATGAAGTTCGTATAACTTATAGAAGTGAGAGAACACTACATTTCGACAATCATTCACTCACTTTATTTATATATTTCATCTATTCTTCGTGTACTTCTCGTTTTCATTTTTCGGTAATTTTCATGTTCATTCAACGAAGAAAAATCATTAAACGAAAGCATTGCGAGAATATTTTCAGCCCACTTTCTTAGGTCACCGAATAAATGAATGATCAACAGACGTGCAATATGGATTGTTGAGCGTTGAAATATAATTTACGGGCAAAGAAACCAATTTAAAATCACAGAAAACTTTTACACTCAAAAGAGAGAAAAAGAAGATGATAAAGTTTAATTTACCTGATGGAGACAAGTATCATAGCGAAAATCAAATATTTTCCCAGCAGAGGAACCACCAGCGATGTAGGCGGGATGATTTCAACAACCAGCAAGAAGAACACATGGAGACTAATAAGAATCGATATCGAAAGCGTTACCTGCAGAGAACATTCAAAATAAAATAAAAATGTTGTTAGCCCACAAGAGAAACCGAGGTGCAGCCCAAAATGCAGAAACGATGAATCAAATGAAAAAAAATACAACAACAACAACATGCGAGAATGACAAAATAATGGAAATTATAAAATACATGCATAAAACAAAGCACTTTTACACAAACCTTTCAAAACAACAACGAATATTTAAGTTTTGTTTAGGCAGATTGAGAAATAGCGCGAGTACGCAAAAGTAAATGAAACAAAAGCAAATGAAGAGCGGGTGAACGCAACGAAAGTGGAAAAGTACTTAAAAGTTAAAATCAAGTTGAAGTTATGTTGTCATTTAATGCAAATAGTGCTCCTAGTAAACGCTTCGTAACAAAAGCAAACGACGAAAGGCTGTGCAAAAGAAGTCAAACGAGAGAGAGAGAAAAAAAAAACGAACTAAATATGCAAAAAAAAAGGAACTGCGAATGTTTTAACGAGAAAATATGCACTTGTACCTTTTCACCAGAATCCGATGGCAAATAGAATGTTAGCACCGTTAAAAATGATATTCCCATGCATGGAATTATGATATTTACTGTGTAAAATAACGTTTTTCGTCGCATTGTTATGTTGAATGTGATGTCTAAGTACGGTTCATCGCAGCATGTGTAGAATTTTTCATTTCTGTGAATGACAAGTTTGTATTTATTTTCGTGTGCGTTTTTTGTTTGTCTTCTATTTCTCGAGTTGGTGGCTGCTGTGTCAAGGACTTGCATGAGGGTGTTCGCATTCGATTTTGATATACGAATGCGTTTGAGTTCGTGTGTGTGTGTCTTTGTATTTATGCTATGCATATTGTGAGAAAAAAATATATAGAAAAAACAGCACATTGGCTGGTCGAATTTTAGGAAAATTTATTGTTAAAACCAAGTGATACCGTGAAGAAAAATGCAATTTCCTTTTGCATCGTGGAAAATCGGTTGTGTAGAGCAACGTACAAATGGTTGAGGAGACAGTGAAAATTGAGGCAGTGAGTGAAAGTTGAAATGAAAATGGTTTCAGAATCATGGCTCTGCTAGTTTTTCATTGGCATTTTACATGGTTTTATATTCGCATAAACTTGAATTCAGCGAATTGGATGACTACTCAAATGTCCGCACATGAAAATATTTTTTCGTATGGAATATGTATATTTACTGTACCAAAGGTGTACTTCACTGTACCGAAAACCATTCGAAAGTGTACCACATAGTTTGGTCAATATCCGGAATCGAAAATATGGACATCTTCAATTTGCCGCAAATTTTTGTAATATTCATTTCTATTTGTCTTTTAGTGTTAAAAAATGATTGTACCCAAAGTGTACACTCCAAAAAACATAAATATGGGGGAATATTAACATTTTGTATGCGTATATGAACGAACGCGTCACTGAAAATTTATATCAGAACATTTCCAATTGGCTTACTTATGTTCACAATTGCTCGTTTCATATTTTTCATAGGTAAAGTTTTTTCAAACTAAACATCAAAAGACTTTGTCATGGGGAATTTACATTTTAACCATATTCTACGAAATCCTTATTTGCACATGTGCTTTTGTGTGTGTGTGTTTTAAATATTGTGTGTTTGGTGCTGTTTTTCTATTCGTATTTTTTTTATTTGCGTTTGTATACATTTTTTTTGTGTCTTTCCCGTTGGATCCTATTGTTCGTCAAATAGCGGTAGTTAGTTGACGGCTCCTGATTTCATGACATCAATTGCATTGTTGCATGTTGCATGATTTTATTCGAATGGAAAGACCAAACGAAAAGAAGATTTCATCGTACAGTTTCTACTACACACATTTATTCCAGGGGAAAATTACTTGAAACTATTTTTTGTTTGTTTCGTATGGTTAAGGCGACACATTTTCAAATGTAATACATTGCGAAGATAAGCTCCGTCTACTCCAAAGAATGCAATATTGCTTATCAAAACTAAACACAAAAGTTATTTTTTTTTGTTCAAATGGAACTTTGGCAAAAATGGTAATTAAAATTCTTTTTTCGCCTTATCTACAATCAATTTTCAATAAACAAAAACAATTGAATGATTTTCCCCTTTGATATTCCCATTTTAACCATATTCGTGAACATATGTTGGTTTTGTTTGCGTAATATTTTGAATTAGCTTTGGGCTTGCATACCAAAAATGCTTACATGTCACGATAGAAAATGTGACCAATTACTCTTTGGACATATTGTGACCTGCATATGGGTATGCTTTATTCATTGCAAATAAAGGTAATGTCGCAAAACAACTACTAGACTTGAATATAATTGCGCATCAAAATATTATTAAAATATATTATTTGTTGGGAATTCGAAGAATTATTGACAAAATATATGGTTGAGGTTGCATATACAGTATATAATACAGAGACACACGCACAAAGCGGATAAATTGTTTTAGATTTTAGAAGTGTGTATGAAAATGGACACTTACCGTACAGCTGGTACCTCTAAAATGTCCCACTCAACGGACATATAAAATTCAGATAAATCGACACCAAAGTCAACGATATTACTGCCAACTTGTTCGTCCATATGTCTTAGGTCCACCTGTTTGTTTTGACGGTTAGTTATTTTAGTGAATTTAAATTATGAGTTATAAAAACAAACAAAAACTAACATTTATGTGAATACGATGATGCTCTTAAATATTAATTGTTTTTTATTTCTCATTACTTCATTACTGTAAGCTACATTTTTATTTATGAAATAATGAAAGTGCAAAGACATGCAAAATTGGGCCATCATCCAAATAAGTTGATGGAAATGCAAACTAGTCACATGTTAAATGAACTATGTTGACCTGTTTTGAATGAGGAAAATCATACTGGCTACTCCTTGTCATACGGATTATTTTACATGCATATCTGCACGCATGCATTTCACCCAAAAATAAAAACAGAATCTGGGAAAAAATTATAAATTGTGCATTTAAAGTGAAACCAAACACTTTTTGTAGATCAACCATATTGGTTACATATAAACTAACAAAACCCATTTACATTTATATATACATGCATAGTTGGTATGGCATAACAAAGTTTGCGCAAAAGTGAAATTGAGAAATGTACTTGGATTTTAAAAACAATGATTCACCATTAAAGTTCAGTGTTTTGGCCATCGCACGAAAATTAACAGTGATATAACTAAAGTGTATACAATTACTAAGTCGCCATATAATACCATTTGATTGGATTGGATTATGATTTTATTGCGGTATTTTTCAGTTCTCTCATCTATTAACATACGCACGTACAATATTTCATTCTCATTTTTGCACATACACACACAGGCACCAGATCATCCCTCATAAACTTCTCATATGTTCGTCTGTTCGTTTGATGCTATCATTTCAGTGATTAATTGTTCCCAATTGCGTTCTAAATTCATTTCGATAGAACAAACTAATTTAAATTATGGTTACGGTTATCGTCTGTCAACCGATAGTTTTGCTTTCGTGTGTAAAA